TGGAGGTGAGGGAGGTCGCTGTTGCTGCTTGGTTTTTGACGACGTCCGCCTTGACGACTTCCCGTGAACGTTGTGAGCGGGCCGTGCATCTTGGCAAGTAACATGCACTTACGCGTCTGGTCGCTGGCTGGTAGTCTTCATCGTCCTGCGTCGCCTTTTTCTTCCTCCTGCCAGAGGTGTCGCCATTTTTCCTTCCGCCATAGGACTCCTCCTCCGTGTTGTCGTCGTCTTCGGGAGGGGGCTGCCCCGGGCCTCGTTGTCGATAGTAGTTCCCGCCTTGTCCAAGCGGAAACATGTTCCCTTGCACATGCTCTCCCGAGTATGGATCATAGCCACCGGCGCCTTCGTATAGCGGGGGTTGGTATGCGGCTCCTCGGGGCACGGGCGGATGCTCGTTAAGAGGGCGCGGGGGAGACCGGCGAGGCGATATCGTCGCGCGCCTCGGCCGCGAGCTGCTGATCGCTGGGGCATCGGCCGTCGTCGGAGGCGGCTTCGGCGGCGAAAACGCGGGGGTAGGTGGCTCCGAGTCGTTGTTCAAGATCCTGCTGAGAGACATGGCGGGCCGCTCGACGACTTGCTTGACTGGCCGGCCGGTGTCGGGGGCGGAACGAGGCGCTCGCCCGGGCAATATCAAGCAACGTTCGACGGTCTAGCGGGGTTGCGGGGAGAGACTGCGGAGGCGCTGTTCAGTGGGTAGTGACGTCGGGAGCGGGCGCGGAGGTCGTGCTCGTCGTCGTGGGCGACGGCGAGGACGACGGTGGGCGTGGTGGTTAGGTGGCAAAGGCCTTTTTTGAGTTGAGCTTGATGCGGGCCCGGCCCTGAGTGACGCGGCATCGCTTTTTGGCCCGAGCGAACTTCGCCTGGAACTCGACGTGCTCGAGCTGCCATGTCCAAAAAAGGAAACCAACAGCTTCTCGAGGTGGGAGAACCAACGGACGAGTCCTCTGCCGCCGTGCAACATCTCTCGTTCTATCGTCCTACTCGCTACTATACACCATCTAGCTCGCGCATACCATCGTCAGACACCATCCGCCCTTGCCGCGCCTTCGCTTTCGGCGGGCCACGAGACTCCGCATTCGGAACGACATTGTATGCGGATCGCTCACGGCTCGTCGGGGTGCAGCATCAGTTCTGGCCGCACCTTCTGGTCGAATTCCTCGGGCGTCAGGAAACCAAGAGAAACCGTCGCCTCCTTCAGCGTCGTGCCCTCCTTGTGAGCCTTCTTCGCACACTTGGCGACGTCTATGAAGCGGTGCGTACTTCGTGAGCCACGTGCCCGCTGCGTATCTTCAGAAGAGGGGGAAACCACATACTGTCGTAGCCTAGATGGCTGTTGAGGATCGTAGCCAGCATCAAAGACTCGTTGAGCAGCTGGTTAATGCGAGCCTTGTTGGCTTGGATGCCGACAACGCAGTTCTTCGTGAACGAGCGTGCGCCTCCAGCCATGTCAAAATCGGACTCCGCGGACAGGCGCCAAAAATACGTACCATCACCCAGCAACCGAATGCTCTGGAGGACATTCTTGATTATCACCGGTTTGAACACGTTCAACTGCATACGTCCGCAGCGAATCAGCGTCTGTGCTCGCATGATAGTAGTGCGAAGGATCCGCCACTCACCTCAAAGTGGCCATTGCTACCCGCGACGCTGACCGTGGTGTTGTTGCCCATTACCTGCGCAGCAACCATGGTCAGTGCCTCGCACTGGGTCGGGTTGACTTTTCCGGGCATGATGCTGCTGCCGGGCTCGTTCTCGGGCAGCATGAGCTCGCCAAGACCACAGCGAGGACCGGAACCGAGGAAGCGGATGTCGTTCGCGATTTTCATGAAGGATACCGCGAGCACGTTGAGAGCTCCGTGTGCCTCAACGAGGGCGTCGTGAGCCGCAAGGGCCTCAAACTGAATAATCATTTCAACATGGAACGTTCCGGTAATTCGAAATCTTGAAACTTACCTTGTTGGGCGCAGTCTTAAACTCAATCCCAGTGAGCTTAGAGATCTCAGCCGCCACCTTCACATCGAACCCCCTCTTAGTGTTCAGGCCCTGTTTTCGTTGCTGTTAGAGTGGTGCTTGATCTGCAAGTACAAGTTTCTTCACTCACAGTGCCAACCGCCGTCCCACCTTGTGCCAGCAGGCTTAGTCTAGGGATAACGTCCTTCACCCTGGCAATTCCGTTATCCAGCTGCTGAACATATCCGCTGAATTCCTGGCCTAGAGTGAGCGGCGTCGCGTCCTGTAAGTGCGTGCGACCGATCTTGATGATGTCCTTGAATGCGTCAGCCTTCGCTGCCAACGCATCCCGCAGTTCTACCAAGGCAGGAAGAAGCGTGTGGTGCAGCTCCATAACGGCGGCAACGTGCATTGCTGTCGGGAACCTGTGTTAAGATGTCAAGCAGGATCGCATCGGCGATAGCACGAGTTTCGTACGTGTCGTTGCTACTCTGACTCATATTAACGTGATCGTTGGGATGGACTGGCTTCTTCGATCCAAGCTCACCACCCAAGATCTCAATAGCACGATTGGAGATAACCTAGATCCGGAGTCAATACTGTCGCAAACCTATGAGGAACGTGAAAGAGCACCTCGTTGACGTTCATGTTGCTCTGCGTGCCGCTGCCCGTCTGGAATACCACGAGGGGGAAATGGTCAATGAGCTTGCCCGAGATGACCTATCGAGCATATATAAGCATAACCGAGTGATCGCGGCATGCGCTCAGCGTACTTCATCTGCAGCGGACTGGATAGCGCCTGCAACTTTGGGATCCAGCCCGTAGGTCGCGTTGACGACCGACGCGGCTTTCTTCAGGATACCGAATGCTTTGATGAGGGGAGGCGGTAACCGCTCAGTCGGACCACCGATGTCAAAGTTCTGTAGCGACCTACGGTGCTCGAGGTATGAGAGTTCCTCGTCACTCAACGCCGACATGATCTCGTACCTCTGAGTTTGCGCACCCCAGTACCGGTCCGCGGGCACCTGAAGCTCGCCAAATGTATCACGCTCTGCACGGAACTGGCCAGACTGCCGCGATCGTCGAGCTTGTCATCCACGTCGTCTTGCCAGAGGAAGCCAGCGTACCATTATGCGAGGGCTTGAGGAGAATAGCCTGTGACATATCCTCCCGCTCTGAAGGCGATTTAGATTGAGCTTTGAAATCACATGAGCACCAGGTGAGCTAGGCCGGCTACGGCGACGTTGACGCGGGGCTCACTGTACGGGCGGTCAGCCGGCCAGCCATGGCTCGATAATTTTTGGATGAGTACGAAAGGTTCGTCGCAGACGGCGCGCACGGATGCGGGGAGAACAAGAGACAAATGATTTCATTGCTCCCCGGACGCGCCCGACGCGTTCCGACTCGCGCGCGACCGGAGGTGAGTACATATGTAGAGTACATCCGAATCGCGCGACGTGTGAGCGCCGCCTCTTGATACGACGTCCGATATCCGGGCGTCGAGGTTCGTAGTGACTGATTTCGCGCCTGTCGTTTCTGGCCCCAAGAACGCCGCCGCCGCCGCCGACGAGGAACGATTCAGTAACTCATTACTCGTGAATCACAAGCTATACGGTCACCACCACACGTGATTGCCGCTCTTCAGCTTCGGTCCTGCATTAATGGTCTCCGGACCCGTTCTAAACGCATTCCTTCTCCTGCCTATCGTCCTTGCTCTCCTTAGTTTCAACATGTCTGTGGCCCAACAGGTTGCGCACCAGCTGGTCTTCCACCCCTTCGTCTCGCAGAGTCTAAGGCTTTCGTCTACCACTCTTGGCCGCGACAAGGTGGCTATGTCCTCATTGTAGCCATCCGAGCTGGTTTTGACGGGCATACTGCGTAGATCTACCGGGCGGTCCAGTACTTTGCCAGGTTCTACGCTTGGCTCCTTATATCCCGCGGCAAATCTGTAGACGCCGCCCGCTGGAATGCGCTGAAAGCCCATCTCGCTTTGGGGCGTAAGCGTGCGTGTGCTCGGCTTCACGATACGCCTTTCGGAAGCTGACGCGAAACTGCGGATACCAGTTATGCGCCTCGGGAAGCCCATGGAGCACCTTCAGGCTGCCCTCCGGATTCCTGGCGGCTTCCGTGGTGAAGAGGTGACCTCCATCGGTCGCCAGCTGTGCTATTTCGGCTACCTCACCTACGACGCTCTCATATGGGCCAACGCCGTCAAGTTCATATCCCTCTCCCGAACTACCGCACAAAAGGTCAACAAGACTTCGAATCGCTTCTGGCTCGCCGGAATATCATTCAGCATTGCGCATGGGTTGCTGAAGGCTGGTAGGCTCGCGAACGATATGAAGGAAATCAAGCGTCAGTCGTGGGGTTCCGCAGAGGTGGGAGAGAAGGCGAGCAGGGATGGTCGGTTAAGTGCTTTGGAAGCGTAAGGATTCATTTCAATCAGTCCGTGGAAAAACAGCCGTTTACGAGGACGGATGACAGACAACGAAGCGGTGTCAGATACCAATTCGCGATGGATCTTCTCGACTTCTGGATTCCAGCATCCAACGTTGGCCTCGTGAACTTCAACGACGGGGTATTGGGTCTCTTTGGGTTAGTCTGCTTTCCTCATCCAGTTTCCAGAAAGTATGGCGCTCAATGTCCATCAGATTTATCACCTCCGTCATGGCCTTGCGTAGCCAATGGGCTGCTGCGGCCGGCAAGTCGTAGAGAAGGGTTGAGAGGACGTATACCTATTCGTTGCAATGTATGGCCACGTCGAATACGTGTTTAGGCAATGAATACAGCGGCACACACTGTACATTAGTGCTGCGGCACCCGACGTAGGGCCGAGCTCCGAGTTTTGAGAGACCTCTCGCAGACAGTTTGCAGAGACCTTGCGTTCGGCGTGCTTTCTCGTGTTTGCTTGTCCCGTTCCTGAGGCCCGACCTCGGATACACTTTTCCAGTGGTGGTGGTGCCGGGACCAGCTAGCTTGGGTTAGCCGCACCCGCCGCGGCGACGTCCTGCACTATTTTCTCGTTCCGTAGTCGTAGATACTCAGCTCTGACTTTGGTCATCGCTTCAGGGCCGGTGCTAAGCGCCGTTCGGTGAGCGTGGGCTCTGGAGGGCAAGAAGCGAGTGCGTACTACTGAGATATGCAGTCCTGCACGCCTTTCCATTTGTCCTTACATGCCCACGCGACAGATATAGTCCTGCCTTCAGAGCACGCTGCGAAATCTAGTGTGGAGGTGATAGTACGCTATTTACTGGAGGGATGCAAGGAGAAAGCTCGGATACCAACCTTTCACCAATTGATCACATTGCTTGAGTGCATGCGCTTTGGTGGTCTTGACCAGCGTTTCCTCTTCGCGCCTTGAAAGTGTGTTCATGGACAGCAGGAACTGATCCACATCCGGCCGAGTCGCACGTTTACCAAGTTCTCACGGGCAGTTTCGGTGTGCTCCCAACTGTCTGTGCAGGCTTTGCATTGGTCCATTCTGGGTCCATTACATATGCTCATATATATCACAAAGTGCGGTTAGAATTGTTTGCAAGCCCCAGGCAATGGATAACGAAAGGAATGAGCATCATAAATAGGGCATAAATAAGCATCATATGGATGGCACGAAGGACATGACCTCCTCGTACAGCAACTCCTTGAGGTCCGCTTTCGAGAGCTCGTCCTTGTGAACTGGGCGACCGTCAGAAATACCATTACCGAAGGCAATCACTTGCAAGCACTCACGATCGAATTGAAAGTACTCAGGGTCTAGAGTTCCCGAGGTGGGCTCGTCCTCTGGATCGTGATACGCCGCTAGATACGGATGTTCAAGCGCCTCCTCTACCGTTGCACGCTTCTTGGGATCGAAAGTCAGGGTCCTATTCAGGAAGTCGATGGCCTCGGGCGACGCTTTGGGGAATAGCGTGCTGAACGGTCTCCGTTTGCGAATCGGAAGCGCACGGATGTAGTCGCGCGAGCGCCGTGAAGTGATAGCGTAGAATTCGTCCAGTGTCGGCGTCCCGATAACGTCGAGGATGAGATCGAGCTGGTGGCCATAGTCGCGCCCGGGAAAGAGCGGCCGACCAGTGAGAAGTTCAGCAAGGATGCAGCCCACAGACCAGATGTCGATCGCTTTGGTGTACATCTTGAACGAAAGCATGATCTCGGGTGCCCGGTACCACCGAGTTGCAACGTATTCGGTCATGAGGCCGGCATCCTTGGGGCCTTCGACGCTGCTGGTCTTAACGCTACGAGCGAGACCGAAGTCGCAGATCTTGAGGTCGCAATTGGCGTTGATCAACAAGTTGGCTGGTTTGAGATCCCTGTGGACGACATCGGCGGAATGAACGGTCTTGAGGCCGCGGAGGATCTGGTATACGAAGTATTGGCAGTGGTCATCGGTGAGTTGCTGTGTCCGGATCACTCGGTGAAGATCTGTTTGCATGAGCTCTTGGATGACTGCATAGACATGGTCAGACGCGCAGGCGGGACCCTGATCGATCATGTGATTCTCACAGTAAATCTCCGTAAAATCGGCCAGGGACGGTGGTTTGATGATATCGAGGATGGAGATGATCTGCAACCGACGTGAGTGAACGCGCACATGCCATACGGACGGATGCGGGCTACATTCTCATTCACGCATGTGTCCGAAAAGTACTTGAGCAACTTGAGCTCTCGCAAGGTCCTCAAGCAGAACAGCGTATGCTCGAAGGGCAGTATCCGTTTGATGGCGACTTGACGGTCTGATGGCAGGTGCTTTGCGGCCACGACAGTTCCATACGCGCCCTCGCCTAGGCTATGGAGGATCTGGTAGTCGTCGCCTGATGGAGGGGCATATGAGGGTGGGACGTGCACTGCTAGATCTCAGGTGACGTGCAGATGACCTACCGACGTGGAACTTGGGAAGAGGTTTGGAGGTCTTCTCCTTCTTCGTGAGGGCGACCATGGCGGGGGAGGAGGTGTTGGCGAAGGAAAGGCTGAGCGACTTGACTGGGGGTAAGAGGCACTAGAAGCCCGGGAGGAGGAAACAAAAGGGACGGCCCATGCTTTTGTGATGAAACTGTTCGCTGCGTATTGATCCCAAAGGAGGGATGATACTGATGAATACCGAGGCTGTGGGTGATGTGCGCGATCCATCAGGCGGTCACTGAGAGTTGACTGCATCGAGCTGCATGATTGGCACACTTTCTGGCGGGCCAAGTGGCCAATGATATCTGATACTGTATCTAAGCCCGCTCCGTGTCGAGAGACGAGTGCCATCAGCGCACCATCACTGTCACGCCGCCCTGTCTTGCCACTTTGGGACGATCTTCCCGCGGCTGTCCTCGATCTCCCCAGCTTCCCACGCAATGTCGCCATCTCGGCCTTCTCGGGATCACCACCCCCGCACTCCGCTCGATGCTCATCCCGCTCGCATTCTCTGCGGCCAACACAGCAGCGATATTGTATTGTGCGGCTCTCCCGCACACAGGCTCTTCGAGCACCTTGTCTGCGCTCGTAAGCTTGCGCGCCTGACCTCGGCCCGCGCCAGCGTCCCATTGTTCCAAGTCGAGCAAAGGCCGCGTCAATTGTGCGGCGAATCAGAAGGAAAGCACCTGGACGCACATGCTTCCGTCTCCGTCCTCGGTCGCTATTCCTCCTAGCTCCCACGTCTGTTAATCCTTTGTTCGAGTATAAAAGAAACGATGCTACGGTTCTGGCAGACCTTTCATCTCTCCCCCTCGGTTGTACGGCTCTCGGTTCCTCCATTCTGCCTTCCCTAGGTTTCTTCCTGCACTCGTTTACGAGTCTGTTCGCTCTTTAGCGCCTTGATATAATTTCCCTCAGCAAGACCTGCTCCTTAACCTACGTCAAATCGCTCCCGATGTTGTTCACTGCTTCTGCCGCTATCGTCGGCCTTGCCTGGGCCGCTTCCGGCGTTCAGGCTGCGACACACGACGTCACCGTCGGCGGCGCCGATGGTACATTGGCGTTCAACCCCGAAGCCATCGTGAGTAACGGGTTTCGCTCTGGGAGGACCAGCCATCTCAAACCCCGGTCAGTTCGCAAATCCCGGTGACCAGGTTATCTTCCACTTTGAGCAAAAGGTTGGTTTCATGTCTGTTGTTCCGGTCTTCACGCTCACCGACGCCCTTAAAGAATCATACCGGTGAGCAGAATGCCGACCACGGTCAGGAATAGAATACTCAGTGTTCTTACCCATGTGCACATGCACAGTCACGCAATCGTCCTTCGCAAACCCTTGCGCGCTCAGTGGGTCCATTTAATCTGTTTCCGAATCGGGATATTGACTTGCCGAAAGAGGACGGCGGATTCGACTCGGGATTCATGCCCGTTCCTGCGAACCAGACCGACAACTGTAAGCTGATCACCATGCTCTTCAGCGAGACACACTTGTTGACGGACATGACAAGTCCCGACCTACACGATCACCGTGACTGACTCGAGTCGTAAGTAAATCTCCTTCGATACGGCTCGTTGTGTGCTGACAGCGCACTCTTTTTTCTTAGCCATCTGGGTTTTCTGTGATCAGGCCGCAAACACAGCCAACTCTCACTGCGGCCAAGGCATGGTCTTCGCCGTCAACTGTGGCGCCGACGGCTCCGCAAACAGCTTTACCAACTTCAAGAATGCTGCCCTCGCTCAGGGAGCCGCTTTGAAGGCTGCCGCATCTTCTGCATCTGCCACCGGGGGATATGCCAGTGCTACCGATGCTGCCACCGACACCTGGACAGCTGCCTACGGCTCCGCTACGATCCCCCCTGTCTCCGCAGCCGAGACTGTCACGGCGACGGTGACTCTAGCGTCCTCGACGTGGACGACTACCTACGCATCCTATCCGGGATCGGCCGAGCCCACTCCTGCGTCGCTCGAGGGCAACGTGCATAAGATCGTCGTGGGCAGCGCGAACGGCACCCTCGCGTTCGACCCGCCCTCGATCCAAGCTGCTCCCCGCGACGTCGTCGTATTCGAGTTCCACCAGAAGAATCACACCGTCACCCAGTCATCCTTTGCCGCGCCTTGCGTACATCTCAACAACGCGACGTCCGGAGTTGTCGGCTTCGACTCTGGCTTCATGCCCGTTGCACCGGATGCCACCGAGTTCCCTACTTGGAACTACACCGTCGTTGACACCTCGTATGTCCGTTTCATACGCGCATGCTGAATGCTGACCCAACCATCATTGTAGTCCTGTCTGGGCTTACTGCCGTCAAAAGACCCCTGTATCCCACTGCGGCATGGGCATGGTGTTTGCCATCAACGCCGTCGAGTCCTCGCAGCGCAACTTTGACGCCTTCCAGGCTCTCGCCAAGCAGCTCAACGGCACCAATGCTACCACCTCGAGCGCCAGCGGCTCTGCAGCCTCCCCGAGCGCGACCACCACTACGTCTGGTGCCCTCGCTCAATTTGGCGGCAATGTGCTCGCCACGATCCTCGGCGCCCTCGCCGTCGCTTCCTTCGCACTCCTTTAGCGTAGAGACCACCAATGATGGGGAACTAGTCCCTTCCCTTACACGACATCGGACTTTTTCATGATTATAGCTTAGGACTATACGCCGTCTTGATGACCTTATACTTGTTCCATGCGATCGAGGTCGATCACTTTCTTATGGGGTTGAACAATGTAGCCGTACTTTACTAATACCAACCATACTTCATGACCGGGATGGAGTGGAATGTTGTTTCGCGCAGTTGTCAACAACGTTCGGTGTGCCTTGCGCCCTTCAGTGAGAGTATTTGGATTACCCTATGACTTTGGGTTGCATTGCATATTGCAGGGGTTTACGTTGTCATGCAAAAGCACATATGGAAGAGCATTACTGAAGACAACAACAAACGGCACACTAAATCCTCATAAAACGAACAAGCATCATGACTCGCCGCCCATGGACTCCCTCGCCTTCTTTGCTTCCCTTTTCAGACGCTTCTTCTCCCGTTTTGCCGCTTCATCCCCATCCTCGTCCGCTGCTGCCTCACCTGCAGCTTTCTTCTTCTCCTTTTCCTCCTTCTTCTTCCGTTTCCTTTCTGCTTTCGCTTCGTCGTCCTCACCGTTAGCCGGTTCAGACACCGCCATGGATACGTCGGGATCAATCTCAGGCAACTCCGACTTGCGCTTGCGCTTCTTCTCCTTCTTCTCTTCCTTCGACAACGCAGCTTCGGAGGTAGTATCAGCAGCGGGGACCGTAGGAGCTGGTGGAACCTCGATGGCGGCGCCAGTAGGCACCGTCGTTGATGGCCCTGCAGCGGGCTGCTGTGATCCAAGATCAATGATTGCCTTTCGAATTTGCGGAGGAGGTACCTCGCGGTTATAATCGACATAATCCTTGCTCCACTCGGCTGGAGTGACGCCCTCGATTTTCTCGCCGAACTTGCTGAGCTTGCCATCCTTTACCATTTTCTTTTTCTGGGCAGCCACAGGGCCAAGGCCCCAGCGGCGCGGGTAGGTGTCCCTCTCCATAATGCAGCGTTTGACTTTAGCCACGACGCCGTGGTCGCAGGTCGCGAGTTCAACAGTCGACATCTGGGCGATAGCGAGAGCGATTGCCTCGCCTTTGGTGGTCATAAGAACAACCTCCTCGTGGACCGAGATGTCGGCTTCATAGCGTAGGAGACCGGGTATCATAAGCTTCGCTCCGTAGCAAACAGCATTCACTGCGCTATCTTTGACCACGATCCGCTTATAACCCACAAGTAGGCATTCGAGGGGGCGGATCACACGCCGAAGATACGATTCTGTATTCAGTGCCTCAACAAAACCAGCGGAAATCTGAGAGGTGAGGTACTCACCATCACGAGTGTTGTCGTACATCCATTGCGCGTCCATAACATCATGCATAGTGACTATGTCGTCGTTTTCTGATAATGCACCACTGCGGACACGACGCAGCTCTTGCATGTGTCCGCCGACACCGAGGATCAGACCCAAGTGCACGCAGAGCGTCCGTATGTAGGTTCCCGCCTCGCACGACACCCAGAATACGGCCAAATTGCGCTGTTCATCGAATTCGAGCAGTTTAGACTCGTATATAGTTCGGATACGAAGTTGGCGTTTCACAGCGGATATGAGGGGCGGACGTTGGAAGAGAGCGCCGGTAAGAGTCTGAAGGGCGCGGGGAAGAGTTGCCGGGTCCGAAAGACCGTCGTGCAGGCGAAGGACGGCCACGTATTCCTTGCCTGAAAACACGTACACTGTGCGAACTTCAGAGAGCATGGTATGGACGGGACTCACCGGCTCCCTGTTGTGACTTGACCAATCGAGTCGCGCGGTCGATACAGACGATCAGGCACCCGGTGACCTTCGGGTCAAGAGTGCCACTGTGGCCAGTTTTCTCCACGCGCAGGATTCGCCGAAGCCAAGCAACGACTTCATGCGACGAGGGGTTGGAGGGTTTGTCCAAGTTGATGACGCCGGACCTACAGAAGACACCGTTCAGCCTTCCAGGTCACAAGCATAGGGGGGCAGCGAGCGCACTTGATGTAGGACGTGATGTCCCTTTTCAAAGGAGGGCAACCGGAGGGAATGGGGGTGAAATGCGCGGAACGGACAAGCAGTTTGTCGTAGTTTTTTAACAGAAGGGGCCATTGAGATGTGTCGAGCTTTGGCTCAGACTTCTCCGGCTTGAGGGCAAAGTCGCCATCTAGCTGGACGGAGGCGACCTGCTCCTTGGTGAGGTTTGCCGGAGGCGCCATGGCTCGAGTGCAAAACAGTACGTCGGGCGCTTAATGGTAACAGGTAGCGGGTGCTCAAGCGCCGGTATCCCGTTCGGCGTTCCCCAGACGCACGTGAGCAAACTCTAATTCCAGCTGTGCAGCACACCCAACTTCGCCTTCACCCACCACCACCAGTTCCCCGCCGTCGCCGCCGTCAAGATGGTCAGTCCCGGTTACCGCTTTGCTGAGTTACCTTCTCAGTAGGCTCACGCCGGTTTCCTTCCTCTCTCTTCTTCCTCCGCCATGTAGCCCAAGGCCGCTCCCGGAAAGACCGCCGCTAAACACAAGTTCGTCATCGACTACTCCAAGCCGGCGGACAACCAGGTCTTCGACGGCGCTGCCTTTGAAAAGTACCTTCATGACCGTATTAAGGTCGAGGGCAAGGCAGGCAATCTCGGCGAAAACATCAAGATCCAGCGTGACGGTCAGTGTACATTGCACCGGTATATGACATGGTTGATCTTAACTTCATATCATTAAAGGGAACACAAAGCTCACCGTGTCTTCGAGCATCCCGCTCTCGAAGCGGTACCTCAAGTACCTCACCAAAAAGTACCTGAAGAAGAATCAGCTTCGGGACTGGATTCGCGTTGTGGCGACGACCAAAGACTCGTACCAGCTTCGCTTCTACGACATTGAGTACGCTACATGTCTGTTCTGTCAGATCTGTTACATTGAACTCACTGGCCTGGTAGCACCGGTGCCGCTGACGAGGACGAAGAGTAGCCGTCGACTGGATACATTCTCGTCGCATGCATATGATCGCACTACATTTGTTTTATGCCTCATGCCAATCCATGGATCATTTGGACATGAAAAGCGAGCTGGCTGGTCGAATCCGTTCGCGCTACAGCTTTCAGAGGGTGTTTATCGGTCGTTGGAATGTTTACATCCGGCTCGCAGATTTGTTATAGTCGCGTACGATGCACTCGGACGCGTATTCATATAGAGGTCCGAGCGTCGCGGCATGGCTATGGTCGAGATGTATTGGATATTGGCACTACTGTACAGATTCGATGAAAGAATGAAGTGCGTATGGCAACAAGGGGATGGGCTGATTGGTTCGATACATGGATGTTGTACAGAGAACGACAGGGGAAGAGGAAAAGCATGACTATCACTACGTTTCCTCATAGTAATTTGGCGGCAAGGTTGGCTGCGGCGATACATCGCCCTCATGGTCTGCATGCGTACGCTGATGATCCGAAAGAGCGGTGGCGGACGTCATTGCGTCTGCGTCAGGTCTACGGTCGATCATAATCGGCGGGAGCGGCAGGGCTTTCGACCTTCGCGAATCTCCAGACCGCACATGGGGGTTGGGTAGAGGAGATTTGCTGGTGCTTACGGGTGCTCGAGATGAAACGACGGCTGTTGGTTCATGGTCGATGGGAGATATATCAGGGTTGGCAATCGAGAATCTCGATGGAGTGGGAGGTGGCCTGGTGTTAGCAGGAGAACGAGGTTCAGGGAGTTCCGCTGTTACGGAGAGACGTGCTATGGAGGGATATTGAAGTTCCTGTGGAGGGACTGAGCGATTACCACGCGTTGCAATAACATTTCCTCTTACCCTAGTGGTCCGCAGCAAGGACGCAGTACTGTTCACGCTCTCTGAAGTGCCTAAGGATCCGGCTGATCCATAGCTTCTCTTGGAATATATATCTGACGGAGGTCCGATCATGACCGTCTCTGCATCTCGAGCCCTTTCTGGAAGGAAACTCCGGTTGGATGTGGCCGACTGAGGTCCCGCGAAGCTTTCGCGGCCACGTATCGGACCAGTAGGTTGGGGCACGGCGTGCGGGTCCCATTGTCGCGGTGATGCCACAGACGTCCGTATATAGGCAGGCTTAGGCGACCGCACTTCCACCATTTGTCCGCCGTGACCGTCGCTGAATGACTGATGTGATGGATCGACAGGGATATCCAGGATGTACGGGCGAACGACTGTATCCTCGATCTGCGGCTTCCATCCTCCTTGCGTACTGACCAGAGGAGGAGGGTGGGTCGGAGGAACCACTGGTGAGCCGATAAGGTCCACTGGTTGAAAGCGTCGCTTGGCTTTCCGTCTCCGATACCAGAAGTAGAAGCCAAACCCGAAGATACCGGCGACGGCCATTGACACGCAGATGGCTATGGCAGCGAGCACACCGTTGCCGAAGCGACTGTTAACAGAGTGCGGGGTTATTAGGGACTTAGGAACGCGGATATCACGTACGTACGGTTTTGGAGGTGACGGACCTGTTCCAAGTGTGGCATTTTGGCCCGTAGTGGTAGAAACGATCGCGAAGTCGACGCTCAGGCTCGTTCCGCTCGTTCCTGGGTCGTTCACGAGCTGAACGACATGTTTGCCATCATCGAGGCTATTGGTAAAGAAAAGAATGGTGTCGTTGGTACTTGTCCTTGAAGCATTGTAATGGGACACGGGCCCTCCATCCACTTGCACGGTATACAGACCAGCACCAGCACCGACACCGCCATAGATCGTCACTCCGTTACCGTTAAATGTGAGCGTGGAAGAGGCGTCTGCGATAGTTCGACTGACGAATTGTGAGTGACTCTTAACATTCGGAAGTGGCGCTGTAGAGTGCTTACTGGCCCGAAAATCCGGTCGAAGCATCGTCAACGACAGACCACGCAGCGGCTGGCTCATATACAAATGATAGCTCCTTGTCATCGATCGTCGTGTTCGTTACTGGCGCATCGGTAGCGCCTTGTTCACTCTCCCAGGTAATCTGGACATGGTACCCGTTAACGTCAGGTTATGAGGCGCAATCGCCGTATGCGCTCACAAAGTCCACGCCCAGAAATGTCTTGTTGGAATCGCTGCATGTATTCGTCAGGGTGATCGTATGGGAACCGGGAAGCAAGTCCGTTCCGTTGAAAAGTGGAAAATGGTCAAGCCCTGGTTCAGGCGCAAAGCCGGAGAACGTAGTATTGGGCCCATCGTCGAGCATCACGGTATAATACCCGTGATCAGAGCGTTTTGGCCCGAATATCCAGACGCCGGTGCCATTGAATGAGAACGATAACGAAGTGCCAGCCGCTGTGCAGAAGGTTATCGTTCCGTTGAAGTTGCTGCCCGACCGCGGTTAGGTATCGAAACACGGGGAATGGGAGATGCATCGCACTCGTGTATGCCGTCCCCTTCGTCTATCCACCCATTTCCATACTGGATGAGCGGACTGGTGTCGTCAATGGTAGTATTGACCTTTGGCATTGATTCGAGCGAAACTGATCATAAACGGCACAGAAAAGACACCAAATAACGATGCACCCGCCGGCGGGAGAAGAAATCGAAGAGCGATAGGACGAAATAGAACGAAGGTGGCGGAGGCCAAGCTCTGACTCCTGCACGCAGCACGATCCCGGTCTGAATTGTACATGCGCAAGGGGTCGATTGCGTGCACGCGAGGCGTCATCGAGCTCTACACCGACCGCAGCTGTCAAGGAGATGGTGGGCGGTTGAGCCCGTCGCTGAGCCGGGTACGTATAGATCTGATGCAAGTTTCGTTTGAGCACCCAATGGATTGCGAGCAGCAAAGCGCCGTCGTCAAGGTACACGTCCGACCCGTCGATACCGAGTCGACCGAGTGGACTTCGTCGCAACCTGGCGCCGCCTGACGCCACCGACATCAAGGCATCCATCAGGCAGGCTATGCACCGCCCGGATCTTATGCCTGCAACAGTGAAGGGCGATCCTGGCAAGAAATGCGAATCGGATCAATTATGCAGCGTTGCGATATATGTAATGTTGGTCGGGGTTGAAAGAACCTCCACAGCGGTCTATCTCAAACTTGGACCGCTTTGTCAGTGCCCGCAGCTTGCACATCCCGATCGGCGAGCAATGTCGCCGCCTTCCGCTGCGCTCCTTTACCGCGAAGTACATTCTCTATGAAGAATTCTCCAGCCTGGCGAAAACAGAGCTTAGCATGAAACCGTACGCGTAACATCTATTCTCACCTTGTAGCTGCTCCGCACGAGCGGGCCGCTTGCAACATAGAGGAAGCCCATATCCTCCGCGACTTGCTTCCATCGGTCAAACTCCGCCGGATCGACATAACGATCCACCTTCATATGCTTCTTTGTCGGTCGCATATACTGGCCGAAAGTGACAACGTCGACATTATGTCTGCGCAGCTCTGCGTACTGCGGATTAGAGACACGAACATGAGGTTATCTCTAAGGCTCACGTCTCAGTGCATCCATGACCTGGTCTTCCGTCTCACCAATGCCGAGCATCATGCTCGTCTTGGTGACTCGAACGCCTTCCTCCTTCGCCCGCTGCAGCACTCTCAAGCTTGTTTGGAAGCTTGCCCGACGGTCCCGCACAAACGGTGTCAAAGCCTCTGTCGTCTCCACGTTATGGGCGTAAACGTCCAATCCGGATTGCGCCACCAATGCTACGTGATCGAGGTTGCCGGCGAAGTCGCCTGTAAGGGCTTCTACGAGAGTATCTGGCGCTCTGTGTATGTTCGTGAGTATCATTCCGGGACGTTGACATAACACGTACTTCTGCTTTATCTTACGGATGGTTTCTGCAAAATGCCTGCACCCGCCATCGGCCAAGTCTGCGAAGGACGTCAAGTACGAGCGTACGGTAGTGGGAACCTGCAAATCCAACATACCGTCTCGATCTACGCTCGTAAGTACGATATAACCGAGGCCCCATCGGCTTATGGCCTCTGCTGTATGCTCGGGTTCATGAGGGTCCAAGGGCGGTGGCGTACGGCTCGTTTTGACGGAGCAAAAGCGACACCCTCGAGTACACGTATCACCCATTAGCTGGAACATAATGCGTCAGCAAGCACGGTACATGGATGCTATACGAATCACCATGATTGTTGCGGTAGCTGCACGCTTTGCTTGCTGCTCGTCGCCGCTGTCGCCGCCCCAGCAATCGCCAATGTTAGGACATCTGGCCTCTTCGCAGACCGTATGCAGATTGAGCCCACGGAGATCCTTCCTGATTTTGGCGAAGGACTTCCCGGAGGGTATGCTTGTCTTAAGATAGGTGGGCAGGCGGGGTCTGCGACCGTGGGTTCAGGTCCCTCGCGAGCGGTCATAACGAGGAATACTTACGCAGCTGTGTTCCCTAACACAACCCTCTCTGGCGCGTCCCCGGCGATGAAATCGTCCAGACTAGGGCCGTCGGCGAGTCGCTGACTAAACGCAGCCTTGGAGGTAGACGGCGTCGCCAAGCACCGTACATGCGTTGTGCCAGATATTATTTTGTTAGCGGCGTGTATAGAACGAGAGATCGGCGACGGTATGCGAGCCATTGGACGACAACGAGTCGTAAGAGAGTTATTTGAGAGAGAACCCCGCCTACGGGTCCGGATGCACGACGGAGGGCCGCAGTGGCTGTACTCCTCCGAGACGCCCCTAGGCAGATTTCCATCCAACAATTCAGAGTTACTGAGCACTAGTCTATGGCAACCCGAAGATGCCAGTAAATGTTCGTAGCTTGCCGGAGACGAGCCTAGGCCCGCTGCCAATGTCGGATGACTTTGCTGTGGCATTGGGTATGGTTCCTCAGCCGTTTCATCGACTCGCAGCTGCTCACAATCAATATATTGAACGCAGGGGTCAAAGAAAGCACATTCGAGCACAGACGAGATCAACTACGGGATGCAACGGATGAGATGCGATATAGCGATCTCGTGGATATATTGGTATATCCGTCTCATCTATTGTCGAGGGTCTTTAGCTTACACGAATCGTGCCAGCTACCCCGGCTTAGGCTAGAGCACGAGCAACAACAGGAGGTTATATTCACGCGATTCACAGCGTTGTACCTAGTCGATCTCCTGCGCAAGTGGGAAGAGACATCGGATCCGGGTTCCTGCTACTTCATCATGCTACTCCAGCTGCAGCACAATCCATACTACCACTCTTTCCTTTCCCTCTCCCGTCCTCCACGCGGATACACATCACGGTGGATCATTCGAGCACATGCGGATAAGATGATATCACCGCAAGGCGAGTGGAACGATCCAAAATACTTTGACGACCAGATATACAACACTTGCCAATTTCTCGCAACGATGCTGCTATGGGAGGACTCGGAGGACGCTCTCTCGACGGAGACGGTGGATGTTCTGAAGCGACGTATCTTACATTGGCAAAGTTTTCGCCCCGGAGTTGAGCAGGAAGAACACCCTGTCCCTCGAGCGCTCGGCCTGTTGAATCGTGATGCGCAATGGGTTGCTAGGGCGAGACGTGTGAAGCAAGACATGACTAAGACTCGATTGGGATGCAATAAGCGAGGATGCGCCGTTCCTTTCATACCAGAACAAGATACGCTGAAGCAATGCTCGAAGTGCAAAGTGGCGCGATACGTGAGTCGTTTTCTCTGACCCAAATCAGAACCGCGTCTTCAATCCGAATCTAGTGCACGGCAGAACATCAGCGCGCAGACGTGAGTTGAATCTCAGCCCCATGTCCGTCACACGATACTTAATCTTCAAATGACAGTGGAAGGAGCACAAGAATTTTTGTCACGCAGCCATATGGATTGCATGAGCGTATGCGACTCACTATCCGGGGTCTTGATCATTCAAATGCATATAGCGAGTCGGCCGTTGTCCGACATTGTTACTCCCGCCTCTCAGGATAGGTCATATCGGTGTCGTACACGATTGAATCGCCGGTCGTTGAACGCAAATATGATGATCAACAGTTGTTCCCCTATTGAACTGACAAACAGAAGGTTGGAACCCGTCCCTGTGATTCAAATGGGGAGCATCCATCCTGATAGCTAACGCTCAGTGATCGGAACAAAATGCGGCAGCTAAGCAAATGATAATTATGCAACAATGTGCGGTGCAAAACGAATAAAGACGTGCTTATGATATCCAATACAAAAAGTCGGGCAACGGCGGGTCCGGGGGGCACTGGTTTTCTGTGTTATGCGAGCCCCTCAGTACCTCCCACCCGCCCAAAAACCCGTTGCTACCCCCTCCACGCCAAAATCCCCAAAACGCGTGTCGCCCTCTAGCTCCGTGCCATACATCGTCTTCCGCGGTAGTGCCGGCGTCGAACTCGCCAGCTCGGTCATACCGAAGGTCATGCCGATGTCTGTACTACTCAGCTCGCGTTTGGGGGTTCCAACAGCGCTGCCTGGACGAAGGATCAGAGCAGGATTGACGCCTAGGGATACTGCACGTTGGCTAGCATCGGTATCGGGGCGAGGGGTAGTCCGCTGCGATGCAGGAGTTCCATAAGGATGAAAAAGATCGTTACGCTCCCGGCGGCCCGCACGTTCGATAGTGTGGCCGTAACCACTTCCGCTCGGGACGATGCTCGCCCCAGGGACGAGAGTGCCCATGGGCGTGGGGCTTTGAGGTTCCTCGAGGTACGAGTACGCGTTCGAGCTCGACATCGTTGGCCCCGGCGTACTCGTAACCGGCGCGCCGAAGCCAAACTGATACTGCGGTTGATTCTCGGTGGCGAAAGCTGTCGCGGTCATTGGATTGCCATTGTTAGGTGTGTGGTTCGAACCGGACGCAGGAGAGCGAGCGAAAATATGGGGTAGGTGGTGATTTGGTGGTCCCTCGTCGTAAGACTGCTCCTCGGGCCCAGTGAACACGGTAAATGTAGGCGCCCGACTTGGCAGTGCTGTAGGATCCTGCAGCATGCCCATCATCTCTTCTTCGGCGTCCTTCTGAGCTTGTGTCATGCCAGAGGCACCCGCACTTTCATCGCCATCCTCCTCGGATCGCTTCGCTCGTTTCTTCCCGTGCCTTATCGAGTCCCTCGCAGAGTCCTCCCCGTTGCCACGCTCCTCCACCACGTCGCCTTCGAACGGGCTTCTAGAATTACGTAGTCGTTTGCCGAGGGCACTGGGAGCTATGCCAGGATGATCTGGCGCAGCGACCACAGGGACAGCAGACGTTCCCGGTCTCGATGGACGCCCTATGCCTAAGCCGGCGACCATACTGAGAGGTCCCTTCGTTCCATTCACAGTCCCGACAGATCCTGCGGATAACCTTGACTTGACCTCCGCAAACTCTGCCTCGAGGCGCGGTATGGTGCTGAACTCAGCTCGCAGTTTCTCGTTTTCGGCTGCAAGGGCATCAACGCGTTGCTGCAGTTTCACCAAATCGGCAGTTTGTTGCGCCAAGGCCGTCCTAAGCTCTTGTAAACCATGTTGCAGTATTGCGTCTGGGTCATTTGCACCTGATCCAGATTGCTTGTCACGCTCCGAGGTGTGGTCAACTTCGCTTTTGATCTCCTTGGAACTGTCACCAGAAGGCCCGGCTTCGGAGGATGACGAGTCGTGTTCTAGAAAGACACGTCAGAGAGGAACCGCGTGCAGACCACACCCTACACACCGTCTTCTTCTTGTATCGTTGGCTCCTTCGCCTTAACACCTCTACTAACCTTACCCCTCGTGCCGCTTCCTCGCCCGAGACTGACCGACTTGGTAACGGCTCTCGCACCCGAACCCCCGGCTGCGGCAGGTCGGCCTACACCTAGCCTATATTGCGTATCTTTGGCTTTGCGAGTCCTCATAGAGCGGGAAGAAGGTTCCTCTTCAGCCTTGGCCTTCGGCTCCGGTTCTGGTACGGCCTCCTCCTTCTCTTCCTCTTCGTCATCATCGTGTATCACTACTGTTGCCGTCGATCGCGTCCGAGCCCTTGCACCAGCACTGCTTGCAACACGACTGGACTTCCGCCTAGAGTATGCTCTCGGGGGAGTGACTGGGGGAGAGGGGTTCGAGCTGCTAGTTTGCCTTTGATGTGTCAGGTCGCTGAAAAGCCGAGGAGGTGTTGGACTGACTGCGACGATCCAAGGATCTGGTCAATGAGTGTCTCGGTCTTCACGTTGGCTTTCAATCCCAGATCCTGAGTAAGTTGTCAATGACGGGTTGAACCCATGGTAAGTTGAAGCATACTTTGCCAATCTTCTGGAGGTCGGCGCGCTTGAAACTCTCGAGCTGAAGCCTGAGTTGACCACACGCCCACTCATCGCGGAACAGAACGGACGAACCTCATCACGAGAATATCTGGGAGCCATAGTCGTCGTGGTCAGAGGCAGCGCCGAGGACGGCGCGTCGGACCTGTCGCGTCGTGCGAACATCTGGGGCAGCCAGGCACGTGCACTATGTTGATTGGGCCTGGCTGTGAACAAATCTCCTTACTCGGCATTGCCAGTATTGGCCTGTGGCAGCAGTGAGCAGTCTGACTTCCGAACGCGTTCTACATCCAAATGCAAAGCATGATACACGGCCAAATAAGCAATCGAGAGTCCCTTGTCCGTATATACCTAGGATCCACCAGTTAACTGCCTCATGAGATACACACCTCGCCCTTCATCCATACTCTTCGTCGAACTCCTCATACCGATCACACTTCTCGGCCTCGGCCTGGTCACCGTTGGCACGTCCCCCGAGTTCAGCTGACCAGTGTATTGTCGCGTCATGCCAGTTACACCGCCTCCCGTCATTTGGTGCGACAGTTGCCTGGTAGGCGATAATCCGCCGCCCGTGAGTTGACGCAGTAAGCCAGCATCCATCGTGCCCGTAAACTGACGCGCGATGGTAGTCCCTGTAGACTGGGGAAGCACACGGGTAGCGTTTCGTGATGACCAGAAGGATCCACCACCGGTCGACGTCGGAACGACAGGAGAATGCGTCGGAGAGCATTGGGGGGACGCGTAACCCGACGGCAGCATCAACTTGACGGTATGTTAGTACTAGATACAGTATGCGACCAGACAGAACACCCACCGAGCATTCGCGGCACCAGATTCCACCTTCGGCATCCATCTTGGCTGCACTGTCGAGCTTCTTTCCGCATCCAGGTTGTCTCTTTCCATTGAGGTTGCTCCGGCCCCACCCACGTTCCCGCTCCCTGGCCGCCGTTTCTTTGCCACCGCACACCAAGCACGTCGCATGCCACCGGGTGCCTTGAGGTCCTGGAACGACACCGCGTTCCATGATGCTCACAGATTTGTCGCATCCTGGACAACGATTACTACCGCCAAATCGTGGCACCTTCGGCGCCGCAGGCACGGCAAAGGTAGTTTGCGCAGCAGGCACGCTCTTGGGCGGCGGCGTGAACTTCTTCTCGATTGCTGCAGAAGTCCAGTGCGCCGGTATGCCCGCCGGCACGTCCTTTGTGATTACCTTGATCTTCTCTGGGGGTGCACATTCGATATGGCATGCGCCCCGTTCTCCGCGAACGAAAACAGCTTGACCTCCCTGGCGCTCTCTAAACATACCGTCACAAATGCGACATCGAAAACAGTCGGCATGGTAGGTCTTCGGGGGTACACCCGTACTTGTAGGTTCCTCAGGAACGGTGACGTACTTGCCACCATTGCTGGTGAACAGAGGAAGCGCGCACTTGGCGCAGGAAGCGTCGATGGCGACGTTGGGCGGGTAGGTACCAGTAGGATGAGGCCTTATGGGGCGCAGCATGTGCGAGCCCGTATGGGAAGGCTTCAGAGGCGCTGACTCCGGCAACGAGTCAAGAGGCTCCGATATCCTTCGGGAGCTGGGGGTAGGGGTTGTGCGCACTTTCATAGCCGGTTCGATGTCCCCAACCTCACTGTCCCAGCCTCTCATCGACGGGAGCCTGTCGACCCCTCGGATGACCGTCGGTGGACTGAATGATGGCGGAGTCTCGATACCGCTCGAGTGCGTTCCCGCCTCCGAGAACGTATCCGATAATAGATCCGGCGTACTTGGCATTGGACTGGGAGCAACCGACGAGCTGGATAGGCCGGGTGATACTGAAACAACGCTATGAACTGGGGATGCGGACCAGTTTCTTTCCGAAACCGAGGGAGAAGCGAGGAGACTGAAGTTCCTCGCACTGAGGGACAATGCCGATATCCCTGTGGATGCCGAGATGGAAGTCGACAAGGACGAGCTGGATGAGTACTTCTTCAGAGAGCGACGAGTAGGCGTCGTGTCTCTAGTTGACGAAGATGGCGACATCTGTTGCGGTAGAGGCGATCCACGGGTAGGTGACGGGGATTTGGATATGCGTAAAGGCGGTGTCGATGGCAAAGGCGAAGGCGTCGGTGATTCAGACACTGAGGATTTTAAGAATCTACGTTTCATCTCTTCGACGGCATCCTCTGTAATTACCGTTTTCCTGGTAGATGGGCTTCCCGGGAAGCGAGGGCTGGCACTCGCACTGCTGCTGAGTCGTCGATCGCCCACAGGTGTAGTGCGAGTCTCTGGTCGACTGGGAAAGTCAGAGTGTTGGGTGATGCTCTCCCGACTCTTCGACCGTCGACGATGGGGCGCGGACGACGAGTCTGTGCCCATACTGTTTGCCCGACTCCTGGCTGTACTCACAGGGCTGGCCTCCCCCTCTGAGCTGATCGTCGTGTACCTTGAACCCAGAGAGGTTCGGGGTTTAGGTGGGGTTTTAGGTTCAACGGCAGGACTGCCCTCGCGCGTCTTCTTGATGATTCCAAGGCGCTGCTCCAGTTCACCAAGGGCTGGACTGCCCTCCCTACTGAACGATTCCCGTTCTCCTGTCGTCCGCATCCCCCCTAGTGTGCTCCGCTTGTCCTGCGCAGGGCTCAAGGGCGTCTTCCTTGCTGGGCTATCTTTCCTCTTCAAGCAGCTGTCAAAGCACTCTGCGCAGGATGGTCTGCCAAGGAGGTCCACCATGGGGCAGTCTCCGATGGATTTCGAGCATCCAGCGCACTTGAAGCAAGCTTTGTGCCAGATGCGGCCCGAGTTCTCGACGAAACCGCCCTCCTTCTTCAGTATAAGCACCGCACGCCCGCAAAGTTGACAATCTCCTTTGGAACCACCATTCCGTATGAAGCAGGGTCGGCATAGGAAGTCTTCTCCTGTCATCGACTTGGGATCCGGGTATATGGTGGCATCGGGAGGGAATGGCGTAGAGCAAACGCGACATGTGAATGACTGTAAGGTCTCATGAGGTTGCAACACGGAGCCATAAGCTTTAGAGAGCTCGGCCGTATGAGGTGACGGAAGGATGTCTGCCGCAGGAAGATCGTCAACGTGGAATCCCTGCTTCAGTGGTGATGCGGGTCGATCGCGCTCAGCCGTAGTAGAGCGTATATGAGCTGATACCCGGGTATCGAGGGAGAATGGGTGGTTTCCGATCGCTGATTTCGGGCGTGGAAAGCGTTTGATAGGGCTTGATCCTGTAGGTGTGGGGATAATGGTTCCTGTGACTTGTGGCCGAACGGGTGAAGGAGTTCTCTCGCGAGTATAGGTCTGCGACCAGCGATCTTTGGGCTGATCCCCGGCGTCTCCCTGGTTCCATTTGACCACAGGTGCTGGTGCGGCATGGCAATCAGCGTCGGATCTCGTCGTGTTGCCCGTATACGTACCGACTGCGGTGCCTCCGCATTTGCACCGGTCAGTATTGCAAATATCACCGCATCTCCTGCAGAATCCCATCTCCAAGTGTACTGATACAAGTCGGATTGGAGTGAAAACACCGCAGAAGTACACGCAAACGCGACAGAGGCGAACGGCTTTGCTGCCAGAGAAGGAGAGGAAAGCACTTTCAACCAGTCACGTGAAGAGCACGCGTTATGGAGGATGCATTTCATGGACCATCATGTGATCGTGTCGCGGTCCTGACTCCGAGGTATCGCGCCTTTTGCTCACCCCCCTCACTCTCGCTACTAACATGTCGCAAGCGTCCCAGCTCCAGGAAGAAGATGACTATTCTTTCTCAGGACCATTAGTGGTCAATAAGCTACAGGAAGCTGGAATCGCACCCCAGGACGTCAAGAAGCTTGCGGATGCAGGGCTGCATACAGTCGAGGCCGTAGCGTTCACCCCCAAGAAACAGTTGCTTGCCATCAAGGGAATAAGCGACGCCAAAGCAGACAAAATTCTGGCAGAAGGTTCGCCGCGTCTTTTGCTCGCTTTCATCCATGGCTGAATGAACAAACAGCGCAAAAGATCGTCCCTCTCGGCTTCCAGAGCGCGACGGAGGTTCATGCCAGGAGATCGGAGCTGGTGCACATAACGACAGGGTCCAAGAATTTGGACTCCCTTCTTGGCGGTACGAAAACACGCTCAAGACTAGACTCCCCCCACTTCGTCATTAATCATTTGTTCCTCAGGTGGTATTGAAACGGGAGCTATCACAGAGATGTTCGGCGAGTTTCGAACAGGAAAATCGCAGCTTTGCCATACGCTCGCTGTGACATGCCAGCTTCCTGTCAGCATGGGTGGAGGGGAGGGCAAGGCGAGTGCCCAACATTGCGTTCGTTGATTCGGCATCTGCTTAGACTCGATCGTAGTGCTTGTACATTGACACTGAAGGCACGTTCCGTCCTGTTCGCCTGCTAGCGGTGGCGGAACGCTTTGGCTTGAATGGGGAAGAAGTACTCGACAATGTCGCCTACGCCCGTGCGTACAACGCCGATCATCAGAATGCGCTATTGATCAGCGCCAGTGCACTGATGTCGGAGTCGCGGTGCGCACACACGATGTCTTGCAACTGATATCGCGCTCCTGACGCATGCCCGATCCTACAGGTTTTGTCTTCTCGTTGTCGACTCGTGTACTGCGCTCTACCGGACAGATTTCAGTGGTCGAGGGGAACTCTCTGCGCGACAAACGCATCTGGCAAAGTTCTTGAGGACTCTGCAAAGGCTAGCAGATGAGGTATAGTCAAAGTCTTATATCGCCGTCTTGTAAAGCTGATCGTTTCGCAGTTCGGTGTCGCCGTTGTCGTGACCAATCAAGTCGTCTCGAATCCTGACGGTGGCGCGAACCCGTATGCTGCAAACGAGAAGAAACCGATCGGAGGTAACATCATGGCGCATGCATCGACCACCCGGTATTTCCATGTTCGAATCGCACTGCTCTCTTGCAGGCTGAATACTCCATCCCAGGTTGCAATTGCGCAAAGGTCGTGCAAACACCCGTATATGCAAGATATACGATTCGCCCGAGTTGCCCGAGAGCGAGAGCACATTCGCGATTCTTCAGAGCGGCATCGGCGATCCGGAAGAAGAAACTTAGATCCTAATGACACTGGTTTCCCTTGCATTCTCGTTCTACCGTATAGCAATCTTTATACCATGGACTACCTCATCGAATGAAACATGTATGGATACAATTGACAGCCGTACCGGACTGCCTGAACTACGGTTACACTATATGTCAATGGAACGAAAGCGAAGGCCCCAGTTGAGTGGAGTAAGACAATGTGTTGCTACTACGACCGTCCGTCTTCGGCCTTTTGAAAAAGCTCAAAGAGAAAGGCACATTACGCCAGTAAGCGTGTGAGTATGTTAGCGCTCGTTTTGCTGATGCGCTCCTTGAGCATATTGATGTCGCTGGCGTTGACGTTGGCGATGTCCGCCATCAGGTACGCCACGTCGCCCTTGGAGTCCGAGTACTGCTTTTCGACATTGTAGGGCGACAGCACCTCGTTGACCTGTCGGAGCACGCCGGGCTGGTTGTTGTGTACATGGCACACGCGCACATGCGTACCCTCCTCGGCGCTGATGGCGCGCAGGTCGACCTCGGGAAAGTTGACGGCGCCTAGGGTCGAGCCGTTATTCAGGTAACGGGTGAGTGCCGATGCGACCTCTTCGCCGATCATTCGCTGTGCCTCCTCCGTCGAGCCGCCGATGTGCGGGGTGAGGATGACGTTGTCGACGGAACGGAGTTCTGTAACCCAAGGGTTGACCTGATCGTCAAAGGCTGCGCCATTCGAGCCGGGCTCTGTCGGGTAGACGTCCAGAGCAGCACCGGCCAGATGTTTCGACTTCAGTGCCTTGATGAGCGCTGGGATGTCCACGACCTTGCCTCGAGCATTGTTGATCAGGTAGGCGCCCTTCTTCATTGTCGCCAGCTCCTTCTCCGAGATCATGTTCGTCGTCTCCGGAAGTTCGGGGACGTGAAGCGTGACGAAGTCGGACTCGGAGAGGAGAGCTTCGAGAGTCTCGACCTGGCGCGCCGAACCGAGGGGCATGAGGTTGATCACGTCGTAGAAGAGCACACGCATGCCAAAGGCTTCGGCGAGGACGGACAGCTGGGAGCCGATGTGACCGTAGCCGATGATACCGAGCGTCTTGCCGCGAATTTCCCAGCATCCTTTGGACTGCTTGTTCCAAATGCCGTTCCGCATCTCGTACGAGCGCTGGAAGAGCTGGCGCGAGAGGCCGATGATCTCGGATATGACGAGCTCGGCGACGGAACGCGAGTTGGAGAAGGGCGAGTTGAAGACGGGGATGCCTGCCTTGGCCGCCGTGTGGAGATCGACCTGGTTCGTGCCGATGCAGAAGCATCCGATGACGAGCAGCTACCGAGAGAGCGCATGAGTCGGTGTGAGTCGATGGCGAGTGGGTGTGCACACACCTTGGACGCTGCCCGGATGACCTTGTCGGTCAGCTTGGTTTTGCTGCGGATGCCGATGGCATGGTACGAGCCGATGTTCTGCAGGAGCTCTTCCTCCGACATGGCTTTGGCGTGATGGTCGACATGGAACCCCTGCGCTCTGAATGCGGCGACGGCGTCCTGGCTGATGTTCTCCAGCAGCAGCAGCCTGAGCTCTTCGTTATCCGTCGGATGGAGCACTCGAGGCTGGCGAACGGCGTAGGAGGCGAGCGAGTCGCTCCGGAGCGGGCGCGTGATGCGCTCGGTGAGGGAGCTCGCGGTGGGAGACACGGAGACAACGGTGGTGTACCTGACGGGGGAGCCGGGGATGTTGATCGCTGCAGACATGGTCGGTTGCGGCGCGACCGAGGGCAAGATGGGCAAGTTATGTAGCGGCGGGCGGAGTCATGGAACGGGGGATGGTGCAGGATGACGCGATGGCCGAGATGGAATAAATAAATTGCTGGGACGGGGAGAGCAAGGGCGACGAGCGGTGACTCGGCCGAACGACGCTCATCTCATCTCTGCCCGACCAACGCCCGCCATGGGCCTCTACCTGCTCGACTACGGCGCGGGCAACGTCCAGAGCCTCGCCAACTCGCTGCGGACGCTCGGACACGACTTCAAGTGGATCTCGTCCCCCGACGATTTCGACCGGGCCACCGTCAGTATCTAGATCGCCTCGCGCACCCCGTCCCTCTCGAACCTCTGTCCTGCCCAGAGCCTCGTTTTCCCCGGCGTCGGCGCCTTCGAGACGGCCATCGATGGGCTCGTGTCCCGCGGCCTCCTCGAGCCCCTGCGCGCGTACGTCGGCTCGGGCAAACCCTATCTCGGGATCTGCATCGGCATGCAGGTCCTCTACCGGTCTTCCGCAGAGAACCCGGACGTCAAGGGCCTCGGCTTCATCCCCTCGCCCGTCGAGCGCTTCGACGACGGCGACAAGGCGGTTCCCCACATGGGATGGAACTCTGCCGAGCATCTCGACCCGACGGCCGCGCGTGGCGAAATCGAGGAGGGCGACCACTTCTACTTTGTCCACTCGTACCGCGCCAAGTATGACGTCGAGGCGTATCCCGCGGCGGCGGAGTGGGCGTACACCACCACCCAATACGGGCAAGAGGTCTTCGTGTCGAGCGTGCGGAAGGGCAACGTGTTCGGCACGCAGTTTCACCCCGAAAAGTCGGGTGCTGCGGGACTCAAGCTGCTCGACGCATGGTTGAGCAAGACCGAGGACGAGCGGCGGGCACTACCCTCGAATCCCCGGAGGCCGCAGCCTCCACGGCCCAAGGACGGCCTCACCAAGCGCATCATCGCGTGCATGGACGTCCGCGCGAACGACGCTGGCGATCTCGTCGTCACAAAAGGCGATCAGTATGACGTCCGCGAAAAGGTCCTCCCCACGCCCATCCTCACATCCTCGTCCGAGATGAACGACGCGGAGAATCCCTCCGCCACCACGCAGACGACGCCATCCGCTTCGCTGCCTACCAAAACCGCCGGCTCCGTCCGCAATCTGGGCAAACCCGTGGCGCTCGCGGCCCGATACGCCGACGCAGGCGCGGACGAGCTCTGCCTGCTGAACATCACCTCCTTCCGCCACTCGCCGCTGCACGATCAGCCGATGCTCGCCGTGGTCCGCGCCGCCGCCGAGTCCGTCTTCGTGCCGCTCACCATCGGAGGCGGCATCAAGGACACCGTCGATCCGGATGGCACGAAGCGCAGCGCGCTCGAGGTCGCCGGTGCGTACTTCCGCGCCGGCGCCGACAAGGTGAGCATCGGCAGTGAGGCCGTGTATGCCGTCGAGCGCCTGCGAGCCGGCGACCGGGACGGCTCTAGCGCCATCGAAACGATAGCCCGCGCGTATGGGCGGCAAGCGGTCGTGGTCTCGGTGGACCCTCGCAGAGCATACGTCGACCCAGACACGTACGATGGGCCTTACAGGTCGGAACTCGTGTATGGTAAATTGGACGGACCGGAAGACGAGCGGGGCAAGGCCTGGTGGTACCAGTGCACCGTGTCAGGCGGACGAGAAAACCGCCCCCTCTCAGTCGTCGAGCTTTGCCGCGGAGTGGAAGAGCTGGGTGCCGGTGAACTGCTCGTGAACAGCATCGATCGGGACGGCACCGGGCGCGGTTTCGACCTCGACCTCGTCAAGTTGGTGAAGAGCGCGGTCAGGATTCCCGTCGTGGCCAGCAGTGGGGCCGGCTCGGCGGATCACTTTGTCCAGGTCTTCCAGCAGACCGATGTCGAGTCCGCGCTGGCCGCAGGCATCTTTCACAGGGGCGAAGTAGAGATCGCGGACGTTAAGAAGGCGATGGACGCGGCAGGCATCAATGCTAGACAATAAATGTACCTTTACACGAGACGGCTATAATTAGATAAAAACCACTGTATGTCTATCCATCGCTGCAATATCTTGTGAGGCAGCACAGCGGTCGCGAGTCAACTATCGATCGGTTCATACGCATTGTGTACTTACATCGTACGTACATCGGCGCGCGCGGATGATCCGAAATATGGTACAATTCCATTACTAACACGTCCAGGATTCCACATTCGGTTTTTTTGGTCCGAGAAGGAAAGAAAGGGGGGAGACAAAGTTATGTAAAGCAAGGACCGGCGGCGGCGGGGAGAACGAGAATGCATGATGGATCGATAACTACATGTTGGGGCGAGAACGTTCGAGGTGGAGGCGATATGACGATACAGTACGTACACAAGACCGAGGTCGGGCCGTGCCTTCGCGACAGGGAGATAGGCCGTCTAAGTGGTATCGGCGAAAAAGGCGGAAGGTCAAGACATTGTGGGATGGAATACACGGAACGAGAACGGCGGGGGGAGGCCGAAACCAGATACCCTCCCGTACGATGGGCTGAGATGGACATCGCTCAGCGGCGCTCGACCGACTTGGCGCCGCGCATGGCCCCCTTGACTTTCTTGAGTAGGCTCGTCTTCCTGCCGAGGCTGGCCCCAGGCGAGGTGGGACCACCCGAGGCGCCGACGCCGTCAAAGTAGCCTACCTCGGGCGCCGCGTGGGCAGGCGGCGTCGCGGGCAGATCCTTGTTGGTGGCGCGCGGAACGCGGCCGTGCCGCCCGCCGTCGCACTCGTCGTAGCCGACGTACACAAAGTCGGAGCTGTCGCTCGTCGGGCTCGTCGAGCTCTCCTTCGCGGTCTTCCCGCCGCCGAGCCTGCCGAGGAACGAGTTTTGAGCACGGTGAGTCGGGCGGGAGGGTCGTTGGGCGGCGCCGTCGGAGCGGTAGCCGCCGGCGAGGTCGGCCGAGTTGGGCGGCGAGGCGCCGAGCACGCCGTAATCGTCGTACTGCGCGTGTCCGGCGGGGACGTTCGGGTTCTCGCGCATGCGGCGGATGCGATTCATGAGGCTCTTGGTGCGCTTCGGGGCGCCGGGAGAGCCGACGCCGGGCGTGCTGGGCGAGGGCGGGCCCTCGGCACCGGACTCGGCCTCCGGGACGAAGATGGGCTTGGGAGGCGGCAGCGCGTTGCGAGTCTTGGTGCCTGCGCGCCGCACGCCGGCGGCGTCGTCGAGGTGTTCGCGGTGGGCGTCTCGGTCCCTGGGGCGGCGGGTGGGCGTGGGGGCGTTGGCGCCCCCGACGGCGTGCGCGCTGCCGTTCCTGCTGGCGTAGGTAGACTCGGGCCGAGAACCACCACCGGCGAAAAACTCTTCGTAAGGTTCGGGCTCGTGGATGCCCCACGCCTCCGCGAGCGCGTCGTGGTTCTTCTTGGGCGGGGACCAGGGCTCGGCAGGGGTGTAGGGCGCCGGGGTGCGAGCGGCGGCGTAAGGCGAGTCCGCGATGCGTGGAGAGTACTGCTGGACGAGCACGTCGTCCTCGGGATTGGCGCCGCCCGTCCAAGCCATCATCGGGGCCTTGGTCCGGTGGCGGTTGCGGGAGGGGGCACAGGCGTCGAACGGCGAATCGTGGTGGAAGACTGTGGTAGAGGAGTGAGCACGGCGAGGACCAGCGAGAAAACGGCGCGCGCGATTGTCGCACCTGCTCCGACGCCGGAAAAGTCCATCCTGTCGATAACGTCCGCGTGCGAGGAGCCCTTCTTGGCGGTGCGGGACTTGGTGGTCGATTTGGCGGTTTCCATGGCGGTTGCTTGGCGGGCGACGGAGTCTTGGGAGAGGGACCGGCGGGAGGGGTGGGCGACGGTGCGGGGTGCGGTGCCTACCGTCGTTCTGGGGAGGGGGTGCGGAAGCGATCAGCGGGGCTCCTCGATGACGCCATGAGCCAGCGGACGAGAGACGAGGGGGGGAGGGACGGGAGACACGCACGGGACGGAGGTCTGGCTGCGATGGATGCGGGTGCGGGGGCTGCCGTCGATGACGCGGGGGGCGGCGTCGGGCATCCTGTCGCGGTGGGCGGGTGCGGAGCGGGGCTGGGCAGGGGCGTCGTAGTCGGAGTAGGCCTGCTGGTGCGGGGGCCGGCGAGAGACCTTGGATGAGCTGGTGGGCGGGGGTGCGGGGCGGGGGCGGGCGTCGCGAGTGTTGACGACGTTGGGGTCGCGGAAGGGGTCGCTGGAGGAGCGCAGACGGTGGTGGGCGGCGGGGGCGAGCGGGGAGGACATGGCGGGCGTGCTCGCGTGTTTGTCGCCTGGCGACTGCTGATGCAGATGGTCTGCTGCAGAGCCGATAACGTCTTGGCCAAGTGGCAAGCGCACGCGTCCTCCCCCCCTGCCCTCTCCGCCTCCCCCACGCCTGCCGCCATGGGCAAACCCCTCTGGTCCCGCGACAAGATCGCCGCCCACATCCTCGCAGGCGACACCCTCGTCATCTACCGCAACTCCGTCCTCCGCATCCCCCCCGCCTGGCTCGCAGCCCACCCCGGCGGCGCCCTCGCCATCCTCCACTTCGTCGGCCGCGACGCCACCGACGAGATCGAAGCCTTCCACGCCGAGCACACCCTCAACCGCATCCGCGCCTTCGCCGTCGGCGAGCCCGAGCTCGGCGACCATGGCTGGGACCCGCTCCTGCCCCCCGTCATGGCCGGCTGGGTCCGCACCGTCGACAAGGATGGCAAACAGTCCTGGCTCAGGGAGGCCGTTGCCGTCCGCTCCGACGAGCACAACGAGTTTACGCCGTCCTCGTCCATCCTCCTGATGGAGAAGGACGACTCTTTGCCGAGGCCTGCGGGTAGCGGACCCGCGCTCACCGACCTGCAACCCGCGCCGACCGCGCTCTCGCTCAAAGTCCAGGCACGCCATTCTGCCGCCTACCGCGAGCTGCACAAGCGGATCACCGACGCCGGCCTGTACGATTGCCCCTACTTTACCGGCTACGGTCCCGAGGTGCTGCGCTACGTGTTGCTCACCGTTCTCTCCGTGGTCGCCTACCGCCACCGCTGGTTCATCTCCAGCGCCGTCTTCCTCGGCCTGCTATGGCACCAGCTCGTGTTCACCGTCCACGACCTCGGCCACATGGGCGTCACCCACAGCTGGACCATCGACCGTGCCATAGCCATCTTCATCGCCAACTTCGTTGGTGGGCTCAGCATTGGCTGGTGGGTCGATGTCAGTCCCGTACAATCTCTCTTCTCATAGCGCGCCGTGTTGACTCGGTCACTCCCAGAACCACAACATACATCATCGTAAGCACCGACGTCCTTTTATCTGCTAATCGTACCAATAACCGACGCTTGGCGTCCAGTGGTCACGAACCACACTACTCACGACCCTGACATCCAGCACCTCCCCTTCTTCGCCAACTCCCCCGTCTTCCTCAACTCCATCTACTCGTCGTACTACAAGCGCACCATGCCCTTCGACGCCTTTTCCCGCATCGTCCTCACCGTCCAGCACAAGCTCTTCTACTTGGTCATGGCCTTTGCCCGCTTCAATCTCTATCGTCTCTCCTACGCCCACCTGATCAAGGTCGCCCGCGGCGAAATGAAGGCCAAGGGCGCGCTCTGGTCCTGGGCGCTCGAGATGGCAGGGCTCGTCGTCTGGTGGTGTTGGTACCCCGCCGTCCTCCGCGGTTGCGGCAGCTGGCAGATGGGCCTCGCGTACTTGCTCGTCAGCAACGTCGTGCCCAGTCCCTTGCACGTCCAGGCAAGTCCGCCCCGTCCTCTGCATCCCGTCCTTCCTCACCGTCCCCATCACGCAGATCGTGCTTTCCCACTATTCGCGCCCGACGGGTGACCTCGGCCCGACCGAGTCGTTCCCCCACCGCCAGCTGCGCACGACGGCGGACGTCATCTGTCCCGACTACCTTCAGTTCCTTCACGGCGGCCTCCACCTCCAGGTCACCCATCATCTCTTCCCGCGCCTGCCTCGCCATAACCTGCGCAAGGCAAGCCTTCATGTCAAAGAGTTTGCCAAGGAGCAAGGGCTCGAATACGTCGAGTTCGGTTTTGTGGACGGCAACGCTGAGGTCCGCGGCGTCCTACAGCACGTCGCGGAGCAGGTGAAACTTATCGGCAAGGTCGCCCAAGCGGAAGCGGCCGAAGCGGTGGAAAAGAAGAACGCCTGACGCCAGAGTGCTGGCATATACTTCGTGTACATAATCTTTAGGCCTTACAACAGTCATCGATCTCTGCGTCTCGCTGGGAGCAAATGAACGTGCGCATGCAGCATATGCAATATCCCGGGCCGACACCCAGTTTTCATGGCGATGAAGTACAGGTATGGAGGCGAAAGCATGACAACATAAGACCACGAGGAAACGGCTGCGTGGCTTATTTCTTCTTGGCAGCCTCCTCCTCCTCCTTCTGCAGTAGAGACCGTGTCAAATGTATTCCCAAATCTGGGGTAGTATAAACCAACCTTGGCGATCTTCGCCTTCCGCTCGCCCTCGGTGCGGGCGATGCCGCGCTGCTGGCGGCGGGTGACGTAGGCGTCGAGCTCGCGCTCCTCCTCGGTGATCTTCCGGGGAGCCTCGTGGACGTACGGGTCCGGAAGGGGAAGGTGGGTGCGGGTGGTGGGTGCTGTGAGCTCCTCGCCCTACATGTGTTGGATTCGTCAACCATATCACCGCGTTTACCATACTAGCCACACACCGTCGAGTCGCCCTTCTTCGGCTTGCTCGCCTTGCGAGGGAAGATAATCAGCTTGGCCTTGTAGGCCTTCAGCCGCTCAACGTTGAGAGCCTTGCCCTCCTCGCTGAGGTTCCTCCTGCGGTGGTCAACGACGATACCCACGCCGCGCGCCTCTTTGCGGCCGATGCCAGCCTCCTTTAGTTCGGCCAGGGTGAAGCCACGGCCCTCGCGGACTTTGCGATTGTAACGCACGGTCGGCGCACGGACAGCAGGGCGTAGGAGGGTAAGCGGGCGGACACCGAGTGTGGCGGCCTTCGCTTTGCGAGCGTTGCGACGGCGGAGCTTACGGCCGGGCTGGTCGAACCAAGTCTTAACCCGGCGTTGCCAATCCTTGCGGAAGTGGTTGGCGTGGAGGACTATCGGCAGATTCAAATGAATGGGCTGTATGAATTCTGCAATGAGTGCAACATACCGTTGTTGTGCCGGAAGCCCATGGTTCAGTCTGCGGGTGAGCAGGTAATTAGCGAAAGGTAACGGAAAGTGGAGATTAGGGAGAAGGTCGCGCAAGGTCATCCGAAAGTCCAGCCTGCCATCCATCGTTGCCCAGCGAAATCTGGGCCTGTAACGTCCACCATTCCAGGAATTGGACTACCGGGATGCATCCTTCGTGACCCAAGCAGAGATTCCGTCGTACTCGCCTTGAGGGGTTGGAGGGCGTCCGGTGGGAGAGGCTTGACCTTGGTGTACAAGGAGCACAGCCACACGTCCTAACATTGATACTGACACAGTTAATGCACCTTGTAAGTACTTGAAGCCCTTGTCTACCCGTGTCATTGTCATAATCTCTTCTGATGACTGTACACTCAACATCTCCAGCGGAGAGTTCCTGACAAGTGATGGGATAGTAATATGTGTGGACACCGCTCCGAGTCCATGGCACCGAAATCCTACTAGATGCGCCTTTAAGGCTCTTGTTTGCTGCATGTACCTCCCTATTCACTGGGTTTGCATGACCCTTCCCGCAGACTTGCTGCATCAGCGGCAAGCGCGACGGGGCTGCAGCGTATGTAGGACATATGCTTCTCCTCTTGATCGCTTCGTCGTGCCGGTGCGAGTCGATCTGATTTGAACTTTACTCCATGGGTATTGGACTCATACACTCATGAGCACACTGTGAACCGATGAAAAAGTCGATTCGCAGCCGGTCCCAGGACTGTATTGCAGTCAGAGGTTGGCTACTGGAACTTCATGCACGTATCCGCACTACTTTGTTTGTTCAGTGTCCCACTCGTACCCATCATTGTCTCGCGTCCCAGTCTCTCATCCTAGCCTTTCGTCCGCGTCAAGACTTGAAGTAATGGCGGCATCTCGTCCGATGGTAGATCTGTTCACATTCAATCTCGACGCGTTTCAACCTTGTCACCTGCACCGTACTCTGGAATCACGGTTATGGTCAGATCCACTTTTGGAACGCAGTATCCAAGGCTAAACCGCTTCTGATATTCTCATGCCTGCTTATTCCCAGAGACATGGCTTCGGTGTGACCGTTCCTCGTGGCTCAGCAAATCAGGCCATGTTTTCTTGCGGAAGATTACCCGGCCCGGCATAGATAAAGACGGCCAAACCGCCATGATCAACAGGGGTTTGATTCTCGTACAACCCACAATCCTGCGTCTGTACGTCTGCTGCTCCGTTACGATCACCATCCGCTATGTCCACCAAGCTTCACCTGAATCCGCCCTTCCGTGCCGACCATATCGGCTCGCTGAAGCGCCCCGCATACTTGCTGCAAAAGCGGGCTGAGTTTGACGCTAAGAAATGCACGATCGAGGAGCTTCGCGAGGTTGAGGACAAGGCAATCAACGCCATCGTCGACATGCAGCGTCAGCTTGGGATCAAGGCGTTCACCGATGGAGAATTCAGACGGTTCGTGGCGTGTTCAATGTGACATGCTGCTCAGGCGATTGACATGTTTCCGCTGGACAGCCACATGTTCTATGATGTTAGTCCACGATTTAGAACCCTTCGGTTAACGAAACCACGAAAACTATGTATGACAGGGTGTGTTCGATAACCTGGAGGGGATGGAATACGTTCCCGAGGGTGAGTTGTCAGCAGAACATTGGTTGTGGCTTTGAAGATCTATTGCTAACAACCTGTCCAGTGCCGCTCCACCTTTTCATGGTATGCCGTTCAGGAAGTGGCTGGTCCGTCATCAGTTCACAGTTGCACCAGGATTACGTTCCGGACGTATCCGCTTTCAAGAAGTTGGACTTCAAGAAGGCGGACTCGTATCTTTGCAAGGAAAGTTGCACAGTCGCAGAATTCGTTTCTCGTTAACGACGTTGTCTGCACAGGGTAAACTCAAACGTACCAAACCTTTCTACACGTCACAGTTTGAGTATCTCAAGAGCATCACTTCCCCTGAGGTCAGGAGCCTTTTCTGCGAGCCCGTGCTCAAATCTCAACGTGCTACAGGAGCACGGGAATATCAAGATCACGATGTGTGCTCCGGAGGTACGCTGTCATTTCTTATCATGTGGGTCACTACCTCACCAACCGCTTTCATAGTGGTTTCACTTACGGCACGGAGACTACGCGTATCCGAAAGATGTATACGCCAACGACTGTGAGCATCAACCATCACCGATGGGGGAGATCGCGCTGATTTTGGCGAAGCGGAGTACTTTGACGACATTGCAAAGGCGTACCAAGAGGAGATCAAGGATCTGTACGCACTAGGCTGCCGTGAGCTTGCACTAATTATTGGCGGGTTTTCCAACTTAACTCCAACCGCGTTGTAGGTAACATTCAGTTTGATGACCCGCTGCTCGCCTACTTCTGCGCAGACTCCATGCTCAAGGGCATGGAGGAGCGCAATATTGACCACGAGTCTCTTCTGAACGAATACGTTCGCGTCTACAACAAATGCCTCGAGGGACATCCTTCCGACATGACGACCGGACTCCACCTTTGCCGCGGGAACTTCAGGGTAAGTCGAAACAGACACGGGCGGTGAAGTAAAGTGAAGAAAGAATGTTAATCTTCGCGATCATAGGATGGCAAGCATTTCAGCGAAGGCGGCTATGATCGCATTGCGATCAAACTTTTCAACGAAATTGATGTGGACACCTACTACGTGAGTTCCGGATCCCTCGGAAAATCCCATTGTTTCGATAATTACCACTATCGCAGTTGGAATACGACACTGAACGAGCTGGCACATTCGAGCCGCTCAAGTTTCTGCCCAAGGTATGTGACGAACGGCCCTATGCGCTGGAACAGTGGTTGATCAGATTGCCTGCAGAACAAGAGCGTTGTCCTCGGCTTAATCACGTCCAAGTTCCCTAAGGTGTCGTTATCCATTCATGTGGAGTGAAAAAAAAAAATGAGCTGAACATGGGGTAGCTTGAGGATCCCGAAGAGATGAAGAAACGCATCTATGCAGCTGCCGAGACGATCGCGCACGGCAATCCCCCGCGCTCGAAAGAGGAAGCACTGAACCAGTGCGTCAAAGCGTTTCCGGTTCGGGATTGGGAGATTGATTCTATCCTTGAACAGGATCTGCATCAGCCCGCAGTGCGGCTTCGCAAGTCACTCCGAAGGCAATCCCGTGAGCGAGGAAGACGTGAAGAAAAAGTTGAGCTTGGTTTCCCAGATCGCCAAGGACGTGTGGGGGTGAACCGACCGTCGTCCGAATGTACTTACTACCATCGTACCGCACATGTATGCTGTCCTTGGGCTTCGGAAGCACTACACAATCTCTCGAACGATCATATTCCTTGTGAACGTGACTGCAAAAACCTTGGAAACGGCGATCAAATTGCTTGACAGGCGGCGAGATGCGTCCGGAGCTCAAGCGCCAGAGGCTACACTTATCACGGCCCAACTTTCGCTCGCCCCGCCACCGACCTTGACTATAGCCTTGCCTGCGTTGTCGTGTTCATACCCTTAGGGTCTCGTTCTTATTATCTCTGCAGCGCTGGCTGGCTCTTACCGTTGGCGAGGACAATGACGCTTCGCTTCCCTCATGTCCTCCTCGGGGTAGCCCTCGTCTGCTGGTCGTCTGTTCCCCTCACGAACGCTGCTTTTACGTTCTCCTTCTCCTCGCCAACGGAGTGTGACGACCTCACGCTGACCTGGTCCGGTAAGCAAGAGTCCTGTGCCCTTTTGTTGCCAGCGTATCCATTCAGTTTGTCTCTAGGCGGTGAAAGCCCCTTTTCGCTTCTTCTCATTCCAGTGTTTGGCACACCGCGCAACATAACCATACCCGATTCAGCTTTCTCCAATGGAGCAGGCTTGTTCAAGACCCAGCTGAACTTTGCCGCCAAAGAACAGCTTCTATTAGCCATGTCGGACTCGCAGGGCTTCGGGACAGGGGGAACGACAGACGTATTGACCGTCGGGTCCTCTGTCGGGGGTTCAAGTTGCAACACTACCGATCCCGGAGTTGATTTCACCTTTGAGCTGAACGATGCGCTACAACAGTGTCGGTGAGTGCGTTCAGACAGTGCCATAAGTCGACACTTACAGGGTACCCAGGACCTTCTCATTCAGTAATTATAACTCGGCTACGCAACCAGTTCATATTCTGGTATGTATCTCGCCTCATCTGCATTCATTCGACTCATGCTGGTATCAGGGAATTGTACCGGGCGGCGGCCACATCGAGCTAAATCCTCCGACAGGACCAACCTCGTTTGATTGGACAGTAGATGTTGCTGGTGGTCAGTCAATGGTATTCCTCATGTACGATAGCAAAGGTTGGTGAAAGTTCGTACGGTTTAACGCTTAAGACCGACTCTCATGATCCGCACAGGTCGCCAGGGCGGGAGTTCCGACGTTCGTCTCGTCAGCGTAAGCAGCGACTCGAGATGTCTGGACAATTCAGCACCTTCTTCAACTGCGAATCCGCCGGCAGCCAGTACAAGCTCTTCCACCTCCGCAACGGACCCGGCAAGCAGCAGCACGACGTCGACCGCTCCATCCGCAAGCGAGACGGGTCATACAAGCAGTGCTGGAGTAGGCCCCATTGTAGGCACTGTCATCGGCGCCGTGATCGCTATTGCGGCTGTCATCACGTTGGGCATGTTCTTCATACGGCGACGGCGTAGCAATCGCGCATGGAACCATCCTCGTCGTAACGCATCGGTCGATTTGCTTGGCAAGCCCGGAGGACCCAGCGGCCCTGTTTCCCACGTATACGCATATCCCCATCCTACCACCGCTCCTTACGCATCGCAAACCCTCACCTCTCATGAGTCGCTCGCCGTGACACCTAGTCGGTCGCAGCACGACATACCAACGGGCTCCACTCCCTTCCTTACCTCTCACAATCAATACGAGCCTGATCCTTTCGTCTTACCACCTCTCGCCTCGCCTACAGTCAGCTCGCTCACGGAGCGTGACACTCGTTCGCGACCCACTTCAACGATCCAGTCCCAAACGTCCTCAGCACGACGAAAAGCGTCGCTCGCCGGGGTGCACAGCTACAATCAGCCTGCGCGGTTCATTCTCCACACGGACCTTGAAGAAGTCGAACCTGACGAGAACGGAGTCGTGGAATTGCCCCCGCAATATACGCCGCACCGTGCCCCTATACCTGCGGAACGTATAGCTTCAGTGCAGCCGCATTTACCAGGCGTTCCCGAGGGGCAAGCCAGTAACCAGACACCGCCCACGCTTCCTTCCCATCGCGCAATATCTCCGTTCTCGGATGAAGCTGCCGTCCGACATGATCTGGAATCGTTATAACGCTCCTTATCCGCTGCACATTCGTTTTGCTTGACTGCCGCGCGGCCCTATCGCGCGTTTTTGCTTGTTGCCTATCTCTGCTTGTATCTGCAGGAACATAAAATGAATTGCTTTCCTCTTTTTATTCCCCTCGATATGCATGAACAGCGCGATAGGTCGCAGCAGCGTCAGATCATGCAACGTCGTATCCGATTAGGTCGCAGCAGCGTCAGATCATGCAACGTCGTATCCGATTCTCGTAAATAGTTTACAGCAAGGGATGTCCTCCCAGAAGATGCCAATTACAGTTTAGTTATATGAGCACGAAGGAAAGCTGACGAGGTATGGGGAAGGTGTAGGAAGAGCTGGAGAATTCATGAGGGTTTAAGTTGTCCTTGAGTTACAATGATGGGTGATAGGCATTCAAAATAATACATGCATGAGACTTGTGGACGCCTGCATCAGGACATCGGAACGATGCGGAACGGATCATGGATTGGCGGACCGTTCAGCTTGTAGGCGCACCAGAGGTGGAGGCTGGTGTGTCGCCAGTGTCCTCTGGAAGTTCGTCCATGATAGTTTGCTTTGAAAACATGTCAACCATTGCTTCAGCATCCTTGCGGCGTCTGTGGCGTCTGCGCCTATCGTCTTTAATGACACGTTCTATGCGACGCCTCGTCTTGCCATGAAGACGGGGATCGGTCATTGCTTGCTTGCAACGGTAGCAGGCAAGTTCAATGGACGCGAGTAGCCGAAGGGTCTCTGAAGCATTGAGCGCCTGGAATGATGGTTAGAGGGGAATGGAGGGAACAGCGGAACGCATACGTTGAGAGACCAAGAAACTACGCGGTTGCCCTCCACGCATCCGATCACGACGAAGTTCCCTCTTCGTTCCGCCTGCAAGTCGGAGTTCTGCAAGTCAATACTTCCTGGTCAGGGCATAGAACGTATGCGAATGTGGTAATGATGCTTACTTCACCGAACACAGCCAGTATCTTGTTTGAGGATGCAGTTCGAAGCACTGGAGCGCGACGTAAGCGTTGGTCAGACGAGCCCAAGCGACCACCTACCAACTCGGGAAGAGTGGCCACTCATTTCGTGGCTGATTATAGCCCTGCCAAGATACGTCCAAGAATCCTTCTCAGGACGTCGAATATGAACTTTGACGGCGATCTCTCTGAAGGAAGTGGAGGATGTGGTGCCTAGGTTGAGGTAGACATTGAAACGGTCAGCCAATTATGAGCTAGGCTAGTCTTACGGATATGCATACTTGTTAGAGAAGCGGTCGAGGGCATCGCCGGAGCTTGCTGGCCTTGCGTAGGAGCTGCCTCGGGGTAAGGGTTACCCATGCTCGCATCGTGGTCCATTTCCATTGTATCCTTGTTTATGGTATAGCGAGGTGGTCTTGTAAAAGGCCGGTGAATGGATACAATAGCGCTCGTTGATGTTATGAGCACCGCAGAATAATGTCACAGGTAGACCTTGGTGTAGACCGAAGGAAGCATGGCGATGGCGCGCCACCCTCATCCATCACGTGCTACGCGCGAACCACTATCTTAGAAGGACCCGGCTGTGCGCACACGCACCGAAAGTTTTGCGTCTGAAGTAATTTACATACACATACAAAGTATCATGCATTGGTCATTGAACAGCAAATCGGGTAGAGCAGGAAATACGGCATCGACATCCCCTGGCTTTTCTAGCGCTGGTCCAAGGACAGATACGGGCCTGCCACCAGGCAGAGATTGCGTGGCGTGAATTGCACGCTTATCAACGGTGTCCTCTTAGTCGGAAACGTCGCCACCAAGTCCGTGCTGCAGGGCTCTGTGAGCACAGCTTCCTGGGGAGCGGGTGCAGACTTACGACGCCATAATGTCCTCCTCGCGATCCCTTGAATCTCCGTTGGCAAGTACGCCATTTGCGGTCGCACGTTTGGGAGGCGAGCCACCGGCACTCTTGACATCCCAACATCTTAGAGTCCAGTCAGCGCCTCCGCTGACAAGCATGGACGACTCGGCGCTGAAAGCCAGAGAGTATATCGACGCAGTGTGGCCCGTCATTTTTTTGATACGTTTGCCAGAACCTAGGTCCCACAGATTGATAGCCAGATCCTCGCCTGTAATAAAAGTTGCATTGAATCAACGAGCATCATAGACCGAGGACAGACTTGCCAGCACTCGCAAGGTAGCGGCCGTCCGGGGAGAAAGCCAAAGTAGATACAACACCTTGATGGCCGATGAAGACGCGGACAGATGTTCCCTTCTGTACATCCCAGAGACGGGCAGTCCAATCGCTAGATCCTGTCGCAAGATATAACGAGTTTGGATGAAACCTTACAGTCTATTGTTCGATCAGCTATATTCGCTATGTTTGTTGACACACCTACATCTACGTCATTCAGATGTCCTGCATAAACTCTGAGTGTCGATACTCGATCAGTGGACCAAAGCCTTGCGGTGCGGTCCCGACTGGCGGTCGCAAAATACACGCCCATCGGACTCCACTGTACGTCCCATACCGGATTTTGATGTCCCCGATATGCAACAACGTTAGTCATCGTGTCTAATGACCAAAGTCGTGTCGTCGCGTCCGCGGAACTGGAAAGGAGGTACCGCGGAGGCACGGCCGAACCACCATAGGGGTCAAAGGCAACTGAGTAAACCGGACCGCTATGACCAACGAGTTTCCGCGTCGTTGAACCACCTTTCTCGCGTATTCGTCGTATTGAACCCGCTATTGTCTGTATGTCATGGTGGGCATCGCTATATGGCGCTGAAATATCTCACCGTCGCGGATATTGCTGGGGGAGAAATCGCTGCGCATGCCCTGTAACCTCTCGCCTTTCAGACTCCATAGTCTGATGTAACTTTCCGCGAATCCAGCCGCCATTAACGACGTGTCCGCCGAGAAAGTACAGCAGGGTACGCTGCAATCCTCTATGAGCAGCTATGAGTATATCGGAAACGATGGCACTCGCCCTTCTGGGACGTTGTGTATGGTGTATGCGCATACACTCGGGAGGGCACGGGCCCTGATTGCTGCAGCCTGTGGACTGTCTTGGTCGACGCTGCTCAGAGCAGACGGTTCAAGGCGTATCCGCTTCCGAGCATCCCGTACGCGTTCCACCTCACGTTTCACATCCACGGTCTTGAAGTTTGGTGGATGTGGTGGAAGGTCGGATAAAGTCGGCGCGATCGTTCCAGGCGGTGCGGGAGGTTGTAAATAGTGTAGATCGTACTGGGCCGATGGATCACGATCTACCATCGCCTGCTCACGAAGCACGCGCTCCGCTTCAATCTTCAATTCCTCCTGCAGAGGTGCGGGTCCGAGTTTTAATTCGCCTTTCATTCGATTGAACGCTTGTGGATCAGTGTAGGAAGCCGCGCCGCCGCTGGATTCTGGAATGAGCGCTGATAGCAGGCCGGTAGATTCCTCCCAGGCGCTCGCCGGAAAGTTGCTTGCAGTTGTAGCAGTGACTGGGTATGCATAGTGAACATATATTGCGACGACGAAAATACGAGACTGTTTACCATCGAAGCGCAGGTGATTATTTACTACACGCATAACAGCTGACCTCCCTCGTTTCCCGCGTTCGCCTGTGAAACCGGCATCTCCTCCCGATGGCTCTCCGCCAATGCCTTCAGTAAGCCATCCGATTAGAAGGTTGAAGCCGGAACGGCTCATACGGACAGCGTATTTTTCGTTTCGAAAGCGTTGTGCCAGCTCATCGTTCTGGACGTGTGATGGGAGAAGGAGAGTGGACAAATGATGTAGGGTGCTACTGTGCTCTGCTTCAAGAGGGCCGGAGAAGGTCTGGAAGAAGTTGATGGCTCCATGAATAGTCAGGTCTTGCGTCCAAGTGGAAAAGTACGGATACACACCTGCATCTTTGAACCCGTATTGCACAAGGTCAAGGTAGAAATGACAAAATATAGGGAACAAGATCGCCCTGAACTCGGGCTGTTGCCCCTGTCAACCGCTGTTCGTGCTGAACGCCGAATCCACATACCCGATACATGTCCAAAGAGCCATCCACCCACGCCTCCAGCTCCCGGAACCCCTCTTGTTTATCCAATGGATCGGATCCTAAAAGGTCCTCAGCGCCAACGGCCCCGATGCTCTGCAAGAGATTCTGGATGCTCGGGGCGTTTCCTAGCTTGGAAAGCTCGTCTATCACTGCAGCGCTATCCCGTAATGCGTTGCCTCCAGGGCGATCCGCCTTCTGAGAGAAAATAGCGAGTAGCTTCACCAGGTCCTGAGCGGATACAGGTGGCTCCGTCAACGTTCCCTTGCCGTCCACGTCACCGATGGATTCCTGCAGCGCCTGAACTGCCTGGGCGTGACCACGCGTGCGGAGGTATTCGAGGACAGCCCGATCCACCGTAGACATGGGCTGGTTCGACTCTTGAGTGGACTGTGAAGCGCTGCCCTCAGGAGAGGCAGGCGCCGGGGTGGACATGATGAGTTAGTAAGCTGATGTATCGTCTGGTGCGGCTTTTCGATGTATTCGACCCTCAAAAGGGTGCCCGGTAAGCTGGAGGGGGAAGGGATGCGGATGACCGTGACTGTCAGTGTGAGACGCGTCGCGTCCGGGCGTGGCGTTGAACGTGACATGTACAACGCTGCGCCTATACTTATAGTGTGGGTGATAGCCCTTGTTGTGTCTGCCTGCGGCCATAGATTGTCCCTGGGACTCAAGCTACTTGCCAGAGCTATTTTCTTCCAGCGAGTGTCTAGCGCCGAGATGATAGGTCATAAGCACGCTGCAGTACTTGTGAGAGTCGGGCTAATGAGACGTCCGCGTCTTACACGCGGCTATCCTCTTCCAGTTTCATGACATCGACTGAGCGCTCCCCTGCTTTTCGTGATGCTGCAGCCTACCTGTCAAATGCCTCTTCCCTATCCAAAGTATCAAACAATGTGAAGCTAGAGGTCCGAAGAGCGCTGCCACGCTGCACCGTCTATTATTGACCGCGACCCAGCTGTATGGACTTTACAAGGTGTTAACGATGGGCCGGCAACCGACGACATCCAGACCCGGGCTCCTCGACTTCGCTGGACGGGCGAAGTGGGACTCATGGAAAGAGACAGGCGCAAAATACGCCAGCGAGTCCGATGTAGAGCAGCGTTACATCGACCTCGCAAGGCAGCTAGGATGGATAGACGGCACGCCCCTTACTCATGGTGAAGGGTCTGAAGAAAGCGAGGAAGAGGAGGAGCCAAGTGCTGAAGAGTTACTGGCTCGCGAGAGCGATTCTGAGGAGAATGTCGCCAGCGATATGGGTAAAGTCATGAGCACGATAGTGTCCTCAGAAGAGGAAGCAAGTCCAGACCTGCATTCATTACATGGCCTGGCCCTCAATGGAGACCAAGGACTCCTAGAAGAATACCTCCACGCGAATCCCGACATTAATGTCAATGAACGTGACGAACACGTAGGTTCTCCTATGCTGCGATATTACTTGGCGCCTCAATCGTCGGCGCAGGGTTACAGTGCCCTGCACTTAGCCTGCGACAGGGGTCATGCCGGGGTCGTGAGATTGCTGCTTGCACATGGTGCCAGCAAGGATCTGAAGGTAGGGTGCATGGTCATAATAGCTGATGATCGTGCTGACGTTGGTACGCAGGATGCTGATGATTTCACGCCTATGGAACTGGCAAAGGTGTCTGGGCATGAAGACATAATCGCACTATTGCAAAGATGATGCAAACCTAAATGAAGAGACACATAGGGGTGGCCATATATGACCGAATCGGCACAGTGATCATAGTTTCAAATCTGCGGTGAGCGTGAATTTGCGCTTTCAGCGGCAGTCTCGTCCCAAATCCTCCCTTTGGGTATGACGCATTTCCTCGCGCGCCGCTGGACGCCTCCCTCAATCTGTTGGTTCTTACCGGAATCATTGAGCGATAAGATCGCGTGTCTAGGCGATTCTGGAAAAACTTCGCGAATTCATTGGTAATCTTCTCGTTTTCGATGTTTTCGTCAGTGTGTGCCATGCTAGTGCACATGGTATATGCAACGCAGAGACCCGAGCTGGCTATGGGTATGGATAAGGTCGTACCAACGAAACAACTTCCCAAGGGCGGATGAAGACTCCACTTGTGCAAACCCTTCTGAACGGCTGCAATAGGCGGAATTCCTTTCTAGACCAATCAAAATGGTCAAGCCATACTATAGCTGGCCAGAAACAACATCGATGGGCCGGTTGGAGTGGACAAACAACAACTTTCCTGTATGAGGCTGCATATAGCTTTTGTCTGAAGCATAATCGACGCGTTATCCATCGAAGATGACCTCGTATGACATGAAGCATCCGCATTGCATGATTCCGAAAGTATTGCTATACGATGAAGGCGCAATATTTAAATGCACATGTAGATATTACGTCGTCGGGTCTACGCTGCACTGAGACCTTTCGTGTCGCTTGGGGTAGGCACCGTACTCTTCGTGCGACGCATGGAAGGTATGCGAGTAAGTGGTGACAGCCCTCTGTCCATGAATTCGAGGTTGTCTTCGGACATGTCCTCTCGGTGTCGTGGCGTTTCCGATCGTTCGATGTCGTCTTCATCGAGATGCACCGGGCGAAGAAAGCGCGCCGCGGCCTTATACCCATCCACCCACTGAAGGGTGTCAACACCAACGTCTCTAATCTTCCGGCTCCGACAACGGTATGCGAACATATTGCGGTCCTCGCTGGTACGCTTTGAGCCATTCGAGCTGACAAGTCCCTCGAGTATTGGAATTGGAGCGCCCTTGTCACTTGACAGATCGAAGTCGAACGGCCCAGAGGGCGTAGCCGACAAGAGTCTTGGATTCGAGGGAAGAAGAAGAGGGAGCATGAAGCGAGAGTCGAGGAGTTCGCCGAGCGCCGGCGCAGGCTTGACAGGCTCCCATGCCGCTGATTTGTCCTCCTGATCGAAAAGCACATCGATATTATTCGTGAAACCCGGAGCCAACGCGGAGGACGATTGATCTAGCTCGACATCCGATGCATCGGGGTAGTCTCCTGCTGTGCTATCTTCACGCTCACGTTCGCGCTCGTCCATCTAAATGCCAAACTGAGTTGGTTGCCCTTCAAGAAAAATCGCATCTGCTAACCTCCTTCCGCAGAGCTTCTACGCCTAACTTGACACGATGCCGTTCCCAGTCCTTCTGGAGCTGCGCGAGATATTGGATGCATTCTTCCGTCATGCGGCCTTCGCCAACTTCGTACCGATAGTCGCGGACAGCTCGCCGCATCTATTCGAGCTTAGAGCAAGAAGCATATCGAAGTTCAATCAGTTACCTGGAGCGGGTTGAGATTTTTTAACTGTTGTATTGTTACAACAAGCTCGGAAAACTCAGTGATGGCAGAATGAGACTAACGATCTGGTCAGACATCACCTGGCGCATCAAGTTACTGTCACGTACCTGAATCCAGTACAACAGATCTCGGACTGGCGTGAAGTGGCTCTTCACACCGACAGGCAATCCAACGAAGTCGACCCACTCGCTCAGGACGCTCAAGTTCAGATTGATGTGCGCAGCTTTTGACCTATCGGTCGGTCAGGCTGAGGCGCAAGCAGAGAACATACTGCCGACCCGCCTACAGAGGTATTTCTTGCGCGTGAGGATACGATTGAATGTTTCACCTGGGAACTCATGAGCAGAAAGGCATTACAAGGTCGGAGCACACACACTTGCAGTCCAATAAAATACTTGCGACCACAACTGCGTGATCAACGCGGGATTTATACCAGACATCGTCATCAGTATTTGGAGGGCGGTGAGGAACGTGGTGATAGCCGACGGCGACGACGCTGGCTCAGGGAACAATGAGTGTAACGGGGTGGTCACTCCACTTTGTCTGGCCGCTGCTTTCGAGATGCTCTGCTTGAAGGAGTGAAAACCCGTAGAGGAGGATGGAGTTGCGCTGGGGGGTGATGATGGCTGTAGACCGCTTGGAGATACAGAGCTCGGTGTGCGAGGAGGAACAATGAGAGTGGGTGCTACGGCCTTCTTTTTGTTGGAGAATGGTCGTAGAAAGGACCACTCGGACTCAAATTGCACTGCCTCTAATTCGGCAGGTGCTGAGGAATAGTCAAGGAGAGCCGCATCCAGCAGTCCGTCGATACTCCTCTCAGCAAACCGAATGATAAACACTAGACGATCCGTTAGATGGGAGATGCTCAGATCATAATGGAAGAAACCGACCAAACACCGAGTTTATGACCTCCTCTATGAGAACAAATGAACCCAGGAGCTCGCACGCCTCGTTGATCGACTGATCGCAACGTAGGAGGTGCAGCCATACAGTTGTGTTATACAACCAAAAAATCAGACAAGCAATGTCGTCTGGATGGCTCTGCATTCTCGAAGTCCGTGCATAAGAAACACCGTCTACGAACAAGAAAATCAGGCTCACAAAGAATGTTTCCTCAATAGCATCCGTGGCGCCGATGATAAGGTCTTCCAACCAAGTATGATCACAAGTGAGAGCAGCGAATCTTGCGAGCATGTACAGTGCATTCGCAGGTTCGGCATTCCCGATGGTAGGAGGAAACGTAGTTATCAGCGAGTTGAAGATGTAGGGCAGTGCTTGCGGAGAAAACACGAGCATCGATGTAAAATCGAGGGGTGGAGTCTGATATAAGCATGAGACAGAAGACCGGCAATACAATAGCAATGGCACTCACGTAGACCCGGTCGTCGAGGAGACCTTCGTCTTCGTGCTCAGATGCCCAGCTTATAGCATCGTCGTCATCATCGCCCCACCACCTGCGATCAAACCCAAGAATCTTCTGTACGCTGTCGCGTAGCTGCCGTTTTCGGCTTCGGCGCTTGGCCTGGTCCTCGAATACTCTCCTTCGCTCCTCCATTCTGCCTCCAGTCCAGCCTTCTTCCCGCATCGCTTCCTCCAGAAGTAATGCTACATCCTCCCGGCCTGGAACCACCGTATGAGCTGTGATGATATCCAAAGGGGTAAGCTTTCTGCGTGTCACCGAGAACGGAGAACACCCGTGTGTCAGCAGATAGGAGATAAGGGTAGGAGGCGAAAGGAGCGCGGCATGATGCATGGGAGTCCATCCCACTGCGTCTGAATGAGCCCGGGTGTACCAAATTACGTCCTTAAAGCTTACAATAGTCAGCTTGATTTGGGTCGGCGCCTTGAGAGACAAGTAACCGGATGCATTCCTCGCGTTCGACATCGCGTTCAGATTCCGGGCCAAATCCGAGTATGGTAGTGCTAACGAGACCAAGGCCATCTTCGTCTTGTATTCCCAGGTCTATGTATGGATGGGCCTGGGGATCTGAGAAGAGGTATGAGAGCAGCGAATGATCGCCAAACTGGCATGCTCGGAGGAGGCAGTGGGCGACTAGCTGGCTCTTCTGAGCCGGAGTCAGGCCGGAGTTGGAGGAGAGCAAAGGTGTTATGTATTGCGGCGTCGGGTAGATGGGGTTCAAGTCTGGCTCTGGGGATAAGTCGATGGAGGCGGATGCCATGGCCCGACGATGTACGCGTACTTGACAACGCGCGTTATTACTGTCATCACAACCGCATGCGCGACGCTGGGGCTTGATTGTGGCTGTGCGCAAACTCGAATTGACTGCCGCTCCTCCACCGTCCGAGAGCCTACTGAGCTTCCAAGTGACCTTAATGCATCCTGCCAAGCGACAGCGCCGTTCCAAATCCGTGGTATCTGATGAAACAGGACGGGCGGGCAGCCCAAGCGACTACAAATCTGCGTCTGAGGCAGACGCCAGCGACGCAGGGACCGATGCATCTCCCGACACCGAAGACGAAATCGCAGACGCCAAGCGCCAGAAGTCCAAGAAAACGCTCAAGCGCAAACACCGCGCGACGGACCCCTCCAACTTTGGCGCCACGTTACAGTCTCTGCTTGACACCAATGTGGCTTCCGACCTCCCTCTCTCCCTGAAGCCTTCTGTCGCGAGGAAGCGGAACGAACAGAAACTGGAGCAAAAGGCCAAGCGAGTTCTACAGATAGAAAAGAAGGAAAAGGAGGATAACAGGAGGATACGGGACGTGATCGGTGGATGGGGAGGGGAAAGTGAACGGGCGCTACGGAAAGTCGCCCAGCGGGGAGGTGTGTCACTTCCTTGAATATTCATACTCTCGCCAGGGGGTTCATTCTGTGCTACGCAGTCGTCAAACTATTTAACGCTATCCAGCAATCCCAGGCAGCCGCCGCGGTGGCAGAGGAGGAGGCGAAGGCTTCCCGGGGGACTGGGAAACCTTCTCTACCTGCGCCTGCCTTGGACAAGATATCGAAAACGAAAGGCAGGAAGAAAGACAACGTGATCGGTCGTGCAAAATCAAGTAAGGAACTGTAGCATCATCATACCTTGACCCAACTTACGAAGCTGTTCAGGTAACCTCGAGCAGGAGGATTTCATGGATATAATCCGCTCAGGAGGTATCGTAGCGAAGTAAGCCATTGCCTCAAGCGCATGGAAGCGGTATTGAGAGTTCTGCATCTGTTGCCTCGACCATAAATGGCAAAAAATAACTAGCAGCAAGGCAGGTAATTTAGAGCTCGTCAAGAGAAAGGTGCCGAAGGGATAGATTGAACATCTCGTTCCGCCGATTCGCGGACATGATCACTGCTCAATGCACGGTCGCGCCGTTCGCGGCTTACTGTCAGTGATCGCCGTGTAATGTACTGAGTACAAACGCTATGACTCTATGAGGTAGCGGCCCTATCACGGCGGTGGGATCAGAGTTCAGATATGTGTTGAATTTATAACCGTGCGCGGATGAGATTTTGAAGATCGGTCGCTCAATCACAAAAGAAGGAAACAAATATCTGTATTTTATAATCTCGTGTATTCAGCACGCCTTTCAGCATTTCCAGAATTAATGAATAGGGAATTCAAAATGAACACGATGAGCGTATCTACAGCTACATTATAAGAACAATTAGGCATATACGATATGTTAGATTTTCAAGAATGCGTGAGGTGAAAACACAGGATAGAATTTCAATTACTCTTTTTCCGACTGAGGAGGCGAGAGTTTCAAATTCCATACCGATGCAGATTGAGCGGTCCAGTCAGCGACCCGTGAGCACCCGCTCAGTACCCCATAAGTGGGTCTTCAAAGCCCGTCGTCGAGATCCGCCGGCCGATGTCGGTTACCACATATGTGACCGGTGAGGGACGGTCAAAGGACGGCGAGGTGTCGCGATGACACGTCGTGCAAGGCGACACTCACAAAGACTAGCGATAGAATGTGAACAAGAAAGGAGGCAGGGAAAGAAGATACGTACTGACGGCGTTAAACGAATGGCAGCAAGGGAAGTATCCGATATCGGGTACATAGCAACATGGTGGACGACGTTCTTGGATTCGACCGGGAAAAGTTCCTCTTCCATGTCTATGGAACATATCAAGGCGCCGAGAGCGGGCCACTTTGCAAATGGACCAGGCTCGGAGCACCGGAAGTGCCGTATCGCGTACATCCACACGCCTCCGTCGCGGTATATGTATTCAATCCATCCCACCCGGAGCTGGTCGTGGAAAATGTGGGCGACGCGGCTATTACCTTGGTGAGCCCGCCAAGTGCTGAAGACCTGATGGTGACACCGCAGATGATTACGCACGACGAGCTTGACATGGCCGCTCATGATGTCGGCCATTATGTCGGGGACTGGAACTGTGGTGGATAACGTGTCCTCGTCGTCGGCCATGATCAGAATGTCATCACGTTGACTGGCGTAAACCTTGTCGTAGAGGCGTTTGCACGCGAGGACGATGTCTGGACATGAAGGTCGCGACAGCCATCGAAAGAGGCTGCTGGTGTAAACGAAAGTGCGATGAATAGTTGCCTCAAGCTCGCCGAAGACGTGGTTGTGATTTGTACGTTGTAGTTTGCCTATGAGACGCTCGTAAGGGAAACACCACCACGATGGCACTGGACCGAATATGAGTAGGAAGTCATAGATGTGGAAGGCTAGATGGTGTATCGAGTTGCATTGCAAGGTCGGGTATAGAACTTGCATCCCTTCAATGTAGTTGCGCAAGTGCTCACGGTAGGCAGCGGCATGTTCCTCGGACGTGGTTCCACGGCAGCCGATGATCAAGGCAAGGACGAGTTCCATCGTATTATCAACCACGTCCATGAACTGGGGGGACGTGCCCTCCGACAGTAGGGAAACGAGGGCCAATGGTAGGTAGATTCTGAAGAGTGTACGCCATTCGGCCGCTTTCGGTGTCCCGGCACTGGCAGCGCCAAAGTCCTCCGGGATGGCCTCAACCCACGATGGTTTCACGACCTTTCAGATAACCTCACGAAGCCGGTGTAGCATATCAGTTGATGAAACTGGTTGCGCTGGCGGTTGGAGCGATTGATGGCGGCGCTGTGATCAGATAAGAGTCAGGAATCAACTTAACAGGTAAGATATCACGAACCCATTCGATCATCGCGATCACGAACTCTGCTTTCGTTGGTGAACGACGACGAACGGGTTGAACATGAAGACCCAAATCATCCGCTACGAAGCGCAGAGATCGTGCCGTACGTTGCAAAAGGCGGTCCCGAAGTTCACCGAACGACAAACCTGGTGAGACATCCGAAGACCGAACCGGTGAGGTCAACAAGGAATGGACTTTCTGCACGTCCTTCACCTGCTTCTGCGTCCAAACCACGTCGGGCGCATCAGCGGAGACATCGATGTTCAAGCCATCGTCATCTTGACTGTCGGGGGAGACGTCGATGATGGAATGGGCATCGCCAGGTCCGGGGTCGGGGGGGACGTTGATGACGGAATCGACATCGCCAAGTCCAATGTCTTCATCATCGATAGGTGGCAGCGCGAAGATCCATGAGAAGGCCGGTTGAGATTTTGCAGTGTCCGTCGAACTGGGGTCCGATAGACCAAGGACAGTGGTGAAATGAAACTTGGCAAGCCCCTCATACAAGCAATGCATGGGGTCGACGACGAGTTGGATGGTGGGGTCCCAATAAGGTAGCCGCCACAGCTCTGACCAGCGGACTCCATGCCGCTTAAATATGTCATCCTGCTCTCGTGTTGAGCTCGCATCACGCCAACGCTCCGCAAAGGAACGCATTTCAGACCCGTCACGCATATTCCAGGCCTCGTAATCCGTGCGATTGAGGAGACGACGCCAGTCTTTGATGATGTTGCCTTCGTCATCGGTAACATGCCAACAGTCGCACAGCGAGCAAAAGATTTTGGAAATAGACGGGGCAAGCGATGATGTCTTACGGGCGGCAGGAAGATCGCACACACCATTGGCGATGACACTGTGCGTCAAGCGACCGTGAGGACGGAGAGCCGTCCGAGAAACGTATATTCCAGGATGCCATGCCTTGACCATATCATCGATGAGTGGGCAAAGATAGTGATTAGTCGCAGTGAGCGGTGGTTCTTTGGGGCCGGGGATAATGCCAGCAAGGTACATATTCTGAGGTTTGTAGCGGATATCGACCGGTAAGTTCAAGCAGGCTAACGCGATGATGCCACAGGAGGTACGGGCCCCGCGAATATTCATCCCTTCAACGTTGAAGAAGTCGACACACAGGGAGAAGGCGTAACGACCATCTGCGCAATCCGTCATGAAGAACTCCCCGTCCGCCCCACGGAACGATTGCAGGAAAGAGGCGTGGAAGGGGCTTCGGATGGTGTCATCGTCGAGGTCCATGAACGCAGCGTCCGCAACAGACGACGTCGCGTTGTCCATTTCCCTCTCCAGATCCGGGTCTGAGAGCAGGCCTGATAGATAATCAGGGAAAGAGTGATAGAGGAACGTCTTCAACGGATTGCCCTCGTCGTCACAAAGTTGTTCATGACACTCTGTATCTGGCGACGGCTTGTTGGTACAGATTTGGGGGTATGAACCGGTGACAGAAGGTGGATATGTGTGATGGCAGACAGGACAGACAGCATATGCGACGAAATGACCACCAGCACCAAACTTCGGCAAGATGGCTTGGAGGGATGTAGGGAGATGTTGGTATGACGTTTGCAGCGCGACGTCTCCAGGACAGAAACTAGCGATGTTGAGGCAAAGCACCATGGCACCGACGATGAATTCCGCGTCGCGACGACTGATCCCCATGACGATGTGACAGATGAAGGCGATGGTCATGAGAACTTGGGCTAAAGCGGTGTATCGGTCAATCTGACGCTCAAAATGATGAGCTGCACACGTATTGTTAGTGACAACAACAGTGATCAGGAGAAGTCGAGCTGCTTACCTACTGTCAAATACGATTGATTGTACATGA